AGAATGGACGTTGTATGTGATGGTTGTGGCGCATTGCATTGGGACGCAGCAAGAACTACCGGTCAATCCAGAAGCAACAATCTCTTCTACTCTTGCTGTAAAAAAGGAAAGGCCATATTGCCCTTATTGCAAGATCCGCCTGAGCCCTTGAATAGCTTAATCAACGGAAGCCATCCACGCTCATCCCATTTCTTGAAGCATATAAGGCAATACAATACTTTGTTTGCTTTTACTTCATTCGGTACCACTGCTACGCCAGCAGGGGCCCAGAGAGAAGGAGAGGAGGAGAGAAGAGGTGGAGTTACTCCAGTAAGTGCCCATGGTGAATTGTATCACATGCAAGCACCCTTGAATTTTGGTAATGCTCCAAAGTACAATCAACTGTACATTTACGATCCCGAGTATGCTGCTGCATGTCGATCTGCCAACCCCAGAAATCAGCATTTAGATGATTCAATCATTGAAGCATTAAGTGAAATGATTGATGACCCGGTTCGTTGTGGTAACCCATTTGTACGTATCTACAAGCATGCCCACGAAATTCTGAGTGCAGAGGAAGAACGACAAGCCCAAGATCATGTCAGCGAGGATGCGTATATTCGACTCAATCCTCAAATGAGACTGGAATTGGTTGTCGGTGAAGATAGGCGTACTCAGAACTTGCCAACTGTCAACGAGATTGCAGCTATTATCCCCAATGAATATGCTGATTCAAGTTTCAGAGACATCCTGATTACCTATCGAAATAGCACCTCCACCAATTCCAGAGGACTCTTTAGAAGGATCAACGAGACGCATGCTGCCTACATGCCTCTCCATTACGTTTTGCTTTTTCCCAGAGGTGAATATGGGTGGCATTGGGGCCTTCGTTTGCAATTGCCTGCTTCAACTGTTGATGCCATGGATGTTGACAATGAAGAAGCGCAAGAAGAGGGACAACGTCGAGCAACAGGCAGGCTTACCCAGCGTGCCTTCTATAGATTTAGATTGCATGTCAGGAATGGTGAATCCAAAATCCTGTTCCTCTCGAGACGTCTATTCCAGCAATACCTGATCGATGCTTGGGCTGTTTGTGAACAAACCAAGTTAAACTGGATCAAGGCTAATCAAACGACTCTCCGTGCTGATGTCTACAAAGGTCTTGCTGATGCTATCAGTGCTTCTGATACAGATCTTGAAACGGTGGGTAGAACGTTTATTTTGCCAAGCAGTTTCACTGGTGGTCCCCGGTTTATGGCAGAGCTGTACCAAAACGCAATGGCTATTTCTAGATTCTTTGGTAAGCCAACGTTATTCATAACGTTTACTGCAAACCCAAACTGGAGGGAGATCCAAGATGAGTTGTTGCCTGGCCAAAGTGCTGCTGATCGCCCAGATTTGGTTGCTGAAGTATTCAACCGGAAGCACGACGCATTACTCAAAGACCTGAAGCAAAAGAAAATCTTTGGTGCTTATAAAGGGATTGTGAGAACAATCGAATACCAGAAGCGCGGCCTCCCGCATAGTCATATGCTGTTGTTCTTGGATAACCAAAATGACCGGTTTGATACGGCAGAGAGGATCGACCAGATTATTTCCACAGAAATTCCAGACGTTCATCAAGACCCTGAACTACATGCAATTGTCACCCGCAACATGATGCACGGTCCATGTGGTGGTTATAACAAGAAATCTCCCTGTATGGTGAAGGATGCTTTCGGTAACGACGTCTGCTCAAAAAAGTTCCCAAAGCCTTATCAGCCAGCAACCATAGTCCCTGATGATGGGTATCCACTCTATCGTAGAAGAATGGATGGCCGCTCTCATGTAATACGCATCAAAGATGATCAGAACGTGTACCACGACTTTCATATGACAAATGAATGGGTGGTAGCGTATAATCCATTCCTATCAAAGAGATACAACGCTCATATCAACGTGGAAGTATGCGCCAGTGTCCAGGCTATCAAATACATCAACAAGTATATATACAAAGGTTCTGATCAGACTACTCTGAAAACCACGACTACCGCGACAACAGCCGCAACAGCTGGTACTGCAGCAATGTATCAGAATGATGAATGTGCCAAATATCTGAATGGCCGTTATATCAGCCCGTGTGAAGCCGTCTGGAGGTTGAAAGAGTTCCCAATGCATGAGGAAAGCCCACCTGTCACTACACTTGCTATTCATCTTGAAAATGAGCAGCCTGTATATTTTGATCCTTCCTGGCCTCAATCAAGAATTGATAATGTCCTGAGAGAGAGTCATACCACGCTCATGGGTTACTTTCATTATAATGCCGTGAATCAAAACAAACCTGGTTTTCAACCATTGCTTTACCAGCAATTCCCAGAGCATATGACTTGGAAAGAAAAGAAGCCAAAAAGGTGGGAAGCAAGACGAACCGATACCATGTCTATCGGCCGCATGTACTACTGTAGCCCTGCTGCCGGCGAGAGGTATTATCTGCGTCTGCTGCTCACAGTTGTCAGAGGAGCCACGTCGTTTTCTCATCTGAGAACTGTCAATAATCACGAGTATGCCACCTTTCGTGAGGCCTGTATGATGCTGCATTTGATCGAAGATGATGGAGAATGGACCAGAGCCTTTGAAGAAGCTGCTACCTTTGCCTCTGGCTACGCAATGCGTTCAATGTTTGTCTCTGCGCTCATGTTCAACTCATTGGTATCGCCTGTTCAGATTTGGAATCAATTCTGTGAAAGTTTCTGTGATGACCTTGAGCATGCAATCGTGCAAAAAGGGTATTCGCTGCTGCTCAGCGTGCAACCTGACGCTGAATTTTACCATGGAACGCGAAGTCTTGATTATGGCTTATATCTGTTGCAAACATCTCTTGGTGCACAAGACAGATCTCTAGGTCAGTTCAATTTGCCTTTGCCTCTCTTCAACTGGAATGGCTTGATAAGCAGAATGACTGGCATACAGCGCAATTCATTGATACTCAATGAAATGTCATATCTCCAAGATCAAGAAGCCTTTTCGTATCAGCAAAAGTATGCTCAAATGAACGCTACCCAGAAGCACATATTTGAGACCATCACCTCCTCCATCAACAGCAACGCCAACAGCTCACATTTCTTTTTGCAAGGTCCAGCTGGCACTGGCAAAACCTTCATTTACAATACTCTTTGTCACTTTTATAGAAGCCAAGGAAAAATTGTTCTCTGTGTTGCCTCCTCTGGCATTGCTGCTTTGCTACTTCCTGGTGGGCGTACGTCGCACTCTCGCTTTGCCATTCCACTCAACATCCACGAGCAGTCTGTGTGTGCAATCAAGAAAAACGATGATCTTGCTGATCTCATTCGAGAGACATCATTGATAATTTGGGATGAAGTGCCAATGCAGCATCGATATTGCTTTGAAGCTTTTGATCGAACACTTCGTGATATTTGTAGTCGTGGTGATGAAGTTACCTTTGGTGGTATTCCTGTTGTTCTTGGCGGTGATTTTGCTCAAATTCCACCTGTTGTTAGGCAAGGTGGCCGTCCTGAAATCGTCAATGCCTCACTGAAATCGTCAAGATTATGGCCCAAATTACAAAAGCTGAGCCTGACTGAGAATATGAGACTTGCCAACTCCAATGACACAGATAGGCAATTTGCAGATTGGATAGGAAAAATGTCGTATGAACCATCCATGATTGGCAGCATTGCTTTGCCCTCTTTTTTGAGGCAGATGACTGATCTTGATCAGTTCATTGAAGATATCTATCCTCAGCATGTTCTGCAGTGTCCTCTGCAAAATAGTGATTTCTTCAAGGAAAGAGCTATTCTCTGTTCAAAGAACGTCAACGTTGATGCTATTAACAGCAAGGTGATGGAGAACGTGATTGGGGAAAAGGTCACTTTGTACTCTGCTGACACGGTGCAATCTGATCTGACCAACACTGAGACCCAAGCCTATCCCTCAGAGTATTTGCAAACCCTTTCGCCTTCAGGGCTGCCGCCAGCAGTTTTGGAGTTGAAAGTAGGTCTTCCTGTAATGCTCTTGAGAAACCTCAACCCTGAAAGAGGTTTGTGCAATGGTACAAGGCTGATCATTCAGCAAATTGGACAGTATGTCCTCAAGGTGAAAATCCTCGGAGGGTCAGGTGCAGTCGAGTTGATTCCTCGCTTTACTTTGTCTACATTGCCTGGCACATTGCCATTCATATTGACCAGGAAGCAATTCCCGGTTAAAGTATCTTTCGCAATGACCATCAACAAGTCGCAGGGTCAATCTCTCAGGAAAGTTGCCGTGGACCTCAGGAGTCCCGTATTTACTCATGGTCAACTCTATGTTGCCATGTCAAGAGCAACATCTGCCAATGGCATGACCATTTTATTACCCGAAAATATGAAACACACAGAAAATGTAGTGTATCCTGAAGTTCTATTTTCAGATACTACCTAATATAACTACTCTATATATTTTTTTTTACCCTTTATAACTATTGATTTAATCAGTTTTATTGTAATCGGCCAAAGCTCGCAGGGCGACGCCGTCATCGAGCGTAGCGAGATAGATCGGCTAGTCTAAAATATATATACTGGAAAACTATGAAAAAAAAAGTAGACAAGCCAATCATATCCTTTTAAAATTTAATAGTATTAAAAGCCAGAACAAACGAGGGCATAACCACCGGCGAAGCCGGCAATGGGGAGGGGGTTTGGGGGAGGGGGCTTAGCCCCTCCACCAAGAACATCAAGCATCACAATTTGCATAAAGTGTATGAAATATCTTTTTGTTAAAATCAAATCGAATTATCATGCCTCTTGTTCAAGCTAGAAACTGTGTAACCTGTAGAGTTGCTCTACCTGAAGATTACAATTTTCGAAAATGTGATTCATGTCGAGTAAATAGAAAAGAAATGGAAAACAAACATTCGAACGAACCTTATATATATATATATATTTTTGTTTCAGGAACGTGCCCGAAACTACGCCAGACAGAGAGCTGCATTAAGGCCACCTAGAGCACCTAGAGCACCTGCCGCTTTCATATCAGAACTTGGAAGAATGCAACCTCATTATCTGGGAAGAATGGACGTTGTATGTGATGGTTGTGGCGCATTGCATTGGGACGCAGCAAGAACTACCGGTCAATCCAGAAGCAACAATCTCTTCTACTCTTGCTGTAAAAAAGGAAAGGCCATATTGCCCTTATTGCAAGATCCGCCTGAGCCCTTGAATAGCTTAATCAACGGAAGCCATCCACGCTCATCCCATTTCTTGAAGCATATAAGGCAATACAATACTTTGTTTGCTTTTACTTCATTCGGTACCACTGCTACGCCAGCAGGGGCCCAGAGAGAAGGAGAGGAGGAGAGAAGAGGTGGAGTTACTCCAGTAAGTGCCCATGGTGAATTGTATCACATGCAAGCACCCTTGAATTTTGGTAATGCTCCAAAGTACAATCAACTGTACATTTACGATCCCGAGTATGCTGCTGCATGTCGATCTGCCAACCCCAGAAATCAGCATTTAGATGATTCAATCATTGAAGCATTAAGTGAAATGATTGATGACCCGGTTCGTTGTGGTAACCCATTTGTACGTATCTACAAGCATGCCCACGAAATTCTGAGTGCAGAGGAAGAACGACAAGCCCAAGATCATGTCAGCGAGGATGCGTATATTCGACTCAATCCTCAAATGAGACTGGAATTGGTTGTCGGTGAAGATAGGCGTACTCAGAACTTGCCAACTGTCAACGAGATTGCAGCTATTATCCCCAATGAATATGCTGATTCAAGTTTCAGAGACATCCTGATTACCTATCGAAATAGCACCTCCACCAATTCCAGAGGACTCTTTAGAAGGATCAACGAGACGCATGCTGCCTACATGCCTCTCCATTACGTTTTGCTTTTTCCCAGAGGTGAATATGGGTGGCATTGGGGCCTTCGTTTGCAATTGCCTGCTTCAACTGTTGATGCCATGGATGTTGACAATGAAGAAGCGCAAGAAGAGGGACAACGTCGAGCAACAGGCAGGCTTACCCAGCGTGCCTTCTATAGATTTAGATTGCATGTCAGGAATGGTGAATCCAAAATCCTGTTCCTCTCGAGACGTCTATTCCAGCAATACCTGATCGATGCTTGGGCTGTTTGTGAACAAACCAAGTTAAACTGGATCAAGGCTAATCAAACGACTCTCCGTGCTGATGTCTACAAAGGTCTTGCTGATGCTATCAGTGCTTCTGATACAGATCTTGAAACGGTGGGTAGAACGTTTATTTTGCCAAGCAGTTTCACTGGTGGTCCCCGGTTTATGGCAGAGCTGTACCAAAACGCAATGGCTATTTCTAGATTCTTTGGTAAGCCAACGTTATTCATAACGTTTACTGCAAACCCAAACTGGAGGGAGATCCAAGATGAGTTGTTGCCTGGCCAAAGTGCTGCTGATCGCCCAGATTTGGTTGCTGAAGTATTCAACCGGAAGCACGACGCATTACTCAAAGACCTGAAGCAAAAGAAAATCTTTGGTGCTTATAAAGGGATTGTGAGAACAATCGAATACCAGAAGCGCGGCCTCCCGCATAGTCATATGCTGTTGTTCTTGGATAACCAAAATGACCGGTTTGATACGGCAGAGAGGATCGACCAGATTATTTCCACAGAAATCCCTGACGTTCATCAAGACCCTGAACTACATGCAATTGTCACCCGCAACATGATGCACGGTCCATGTGGTGGTTATAACAAGAAATCTCCCTGTATGGTGAAGGATGCTTTCGGTAACGACGTCTGCTCAAAAAAGTTCCCAAAGCCTTATCAGCCAGCAACCATAGTTCCTGATGATGGGTATCCACTCTATCGTAGAAGAATGGATGGCCGCTCTCATGTAATACGCATCAAAGATGATCAGAACGTGTACCACGACTTTCATATGACAAATGAATGGGTGGTAGCGTATAATCCATTCCTATCAAAGAGATACAACGCTCATATCAACGTGGAAGTATGCGCCAGTGTCCAGGCTATCAAATACATCAACAAGTATATATACAAAGGTTCTGATCAGACTACTCTGAAAACCACGACTACCGCGACAACAACCGCAACAGCTGGTACTGCAGCAATGTATCAGAATGATGAATGTGCCAAATATCTGAATGGCCGTTATATCAGCCCGTGTGAAGCCGTCTGGAGGTTGAAAGAGTTCCCAATGCATGAGGAAAGCCCACCTGTCACTACACTTGCTATTCATCTTGAAAATGAGCAGCCTGTATATTTTGATCCTTCCTGGCCTCAATCAAGAATTGATAATGTCCTGAGAGAGAGTCATACCACGCTCATGGGTTACTTTCATTATAATGCCGTGAATCAAAACAAACCTGGTTTTCAACCATTGCTTTACCAGCAATTCCCAGAGCATATGACTTGGAAAGAAAAGAAGCCAAAAAGGTGGGAAGCAAGACGAACCGATACCATGTCTATCGGCCGCATGTACTACTGTAGCCCTGCTGCCGGCGAGAGGTATTATCTGCGTCTGCTGCTCACAGTTGTCAGAGGAGCCACGTCGTTTTCTCATCTGAGAACTGTCAATAATCACGAGTATGCCACCTTTCGTGAGGCCTGTATGATGCTGCATTTGATCGAAGATGATGGAGAATGGACCAGAGCCTTTGAAGAAGCTGCTACCTTTGCCTCTGGCTACGCAATGCGTTCAATGTTTGTCTCTGCGCTCAGGTTCAACTCATTGGTATCGCCTGTTCAGATTTGGAATCAATTCTGTGAAAGTTTCTGTGATGACCTTGAGCATGCAATCGTGCAAAAAGGGTATTCGCTGCTGCTCAGCGTGCAACCTGACGCTGAATTTTACCATGGAACGCGAAGTCTTGATTACGGCTTATATCTGTTGCAAACATCTCTTGGTGCACAAGACAGATCTCTAGGTCAGTTCAATTTGCCTTTGCCTCTGCCTCTCTTCAACTGGAATGGCTTGATAAGCAGAATGACTGGCATACAACGCAATTCATTGATACTCAATGAAATGTCATATCTCCAAGATCAAGAAGCCTTTTCGTATCAGCAAAAGTATGCTCAAATGAACGCTACCCAGAAGCACATATTTGAGACCATCACCTCCTCCATCAACAGCAACGCCAACAGCTCACATTTCTTTTTGCAAGGTCCAGCTGGCACTGGCAAAACCTTCATTTACAATACTCTTTGTCACTTTTATAGAAGCCAAGGAAAAATTGTTCTCTGTGTTGCCTCCTCTGGCATTGCTGCTTTGCTACTTCCTGGTGGGCGTACGTCACACTCTCGCTTTGCCATTCCACTCAACATCCACGAGCAGTCTGTGTGTGCGATCAAGAAGAACGATGACCTTGCTGATCTCATTCGAGAGACAGCATTGATAATTTGGGATGAAGTGCCAATGCAGCATCGATATTGCTTTGAAGCTTTTGATCGAACACTTCGTGATATTTGTAGTCGTGGTGATGAAGTTACCTTTGGTGGTATTCCTGTTGTTCTTGGCGGTGATTTTGCTCAAATTCCACCTGTTGTTAGGCAAGGTGGCCGTCCTGAAATCGTCAATGCCTCACTGAAATCGTCAAGATTATGGCCCAAATTACAAAAGCTGAGCCTGACTGAGAATATGAGACTTGCCAACTCCAATGACACAGATAGGCAATTTGCAGATTGGATAGGAAAAATGCCGTATGAACCATCCATGATTGGCAGCATTGCTTTGCCCTCTTTTTTGAGGCAGATGACTGATCTTGATCAGTTCATTGAAGATATCTACCCTCAGCATGTTCTGCAGTGTCCTCTGCAAAATAGTGATTTCTTCAAGGAAAGAGCTATTCTCTGTTCAAAGAACGTCAACGTTGATGCTATTAACAGCAAGGTGATGGAGAACGTGATTGGGGAAAAGGTCACTTTGTACTCTGCTGACACGGTGCAATCTGATCTGACCAACACTGAGACCCAAGCCTATCCCTCAGAGTATTTGCAAACCCTTTCGCCTTCAGGGCTGCCGCCAGCAGTTTTGGAGTTGAAAGTAGGTCTTCCTGTAATGCTCTTGAGAAACCTCAACCCTGAAAGAGGTTTGTGCAATGGTACAAGGCTGATCATTCAGCAAATTGGACAGTATGTCCTCAAGGTGAAAATCCTCGGAGAGTCAGGTGCAGTCGAGTTGATTCCTCGCTTTACTTTGTCTACATTGCCTGGCACATTGCCATTCATTTTGATCAGAAAGCAATTCCCGGTTAAAGTATCTTTCGCAATGACCATCAACAAGTCGCAGGGTCAATCTCTCAGGAAAGTTGCCGTGGACCTCAGGAGTCCCGTATTTACTCATGGTCAACTCTATGTTGCCATGTCAAGAGCAACATCTGCCAATGGCATGACCATTTTATTACCCGAAAATATGAAACACACAGAAAATGTAGTGTATCCTGAAGTTCTATTTTCAGATACTACCTAATATAACTACTCTATATATTTTTTTTTTACCCTTTATAACTATTGATTTAATCAGTTTTATTGTAATCGGCCAAAGCCCGCAGGGCGACGCCGTCATCGAGCGTAGCGAGATAGATCGGCTAGTCACTAATATATATACTGGAAAACTATGAAAAAAAAAATAGACAAGCCAATCATATCCATTATTGAGAGCCGGGCAAAGGTGAATAAAGCTACCGGCAAAGCCGGCAATGGGGAGGGGGTTCGGAGGAGGGGCTCAGCCTCTCCACCAAGAACATAATAATGCATCTAATTCAACACTGGATAACATTGATTTATAGGGGAGGTTTACCTTAGCGAAGCAAAGGTGTAAAGCCTATGACAACTGAGCATCTAATCCAACAATGGGTAGCATTGAGTTATAGGGGGGGGGGTTATACCGTAGCAAATCAAAAGTGCAAAGCCATGGTAATCAGGCGTCTAATCCAACACTTGGTAACATTGATTTATATGAGGGCTTGATTGCAGCGAAGCGAAGGTTCAAAACCATAGTATCTAATAAGCAGCAAATTCGAGTTTTTATTTCCATTGCTAATAAGCTTACCGGCAACATAACGCAACAAAATTTGTATGAATTAGCTTTACCAAAATCAATATGCCTCTCATTCGAATTAAAAATTGCGCAAGCTACAGAACTGCCTTTCTAATAAGTTCCAACTACCAAAGATGTGATTTATGCCGTGTAAATAAACTCTATAAAGCAATACATAACCAAATTTGACAGCTTTCAAGCTTTCATATCTTGGCATGTAGACATTTATGAGCCACCGGAATGACGCCAAACAATTGTACTTGAGTAGTAGTAACTTCCTGACATCTTTGCTCAACTTTTTGGACCAAAAAAAAAACATGACCAAAAATCGACCAAAAAGCATGAGGTACTCCTCATGGTTTCCATCAAAAATCAAATGATCGCGTTTTTCACCTTGAAAATGAAGATTTTTACTATGGTATATATTAACTCAAAATGTTTCTCTCGATCCAAAGCCACCTCTGAAACTACTTTTATGAGGTGTTCATATGCAAAATCTGACTATTTTCGCTAAAAACCTCATTTCAAATATATTAGATGGGGGCGAACATCACACAGCTCATATAGTCGAGTCGAGTCGAGCAAGATAGATCAATCAAGTCGAATAAAGGCAAAATTTGACCAATCTGGATCGAATATGTAAGCCAATTTTGTTGGGTATTTGTTGCTGGATGGCAAAAAAAAAAAATTCAATGCCTTTGTCATCATGTAGACATGAATGCTTATGAAGCTAACAAGAGTGGTGTTGTAATTCAAAGCTACTATTGCTTTGTCAGAGTAGCTTCCTTCTTTGCACATTTCGATACCCAATAGATTTAATCGTCGCAATTGCCCCATCCAAATGCAAGCATAGATGTATAGTGATTGCAGTTTAATCTCTCAGCTTGGTATTATTCCATAGAGCAGCGTCTTCCAAGGCGTCGCTATCAGGCAATCATCAGGATTCCTGACTCTATGGGGCTATTATGAAGCACAAAATATAACATTTGATTTATTGTAGATAGGACAGGTATCTCGAGATATTATAACACATGTTGCACTGTTAGATGCTTCAAACAGTACCATCATCACGTATATCTGCTATAACCATTAGACGTCAAGGTGTTGGGTTCATTCGATCGTGGTATGCTATGCAAACAGCGTCGCATATTAAATACCTGTCCAACTGGTGGTGATACCTATTAGGATCAGCGGCATTGCCAGTCAGCTTTTTTTTTCCCTTCTCTTTCACTCTTAATCCTATACCACCACCACCACCACCACCACCACCACCACAAGTAGCATACAAAAACACAACACAAGATGAACTGCTTATTATCAAAGACCAAAGAATTTGTGAAATATCATGTAAGATCAAGCGAGTGTACATGAATGCTCATGGCAAACCACTGATGAGCATCTATCCATAGTGCGTAAATGATGCTTTGGATGCAACCACCACCATTTACAACAATTACGATTCTCAATTGCCAGCCAAGAAACTCGTAAGTCTTTGCTTATATTCGCTCGCTTGGTTTGAGAGAGAGAGAGAGAGAGAGAGAGAGAGAGATGTCCATGAGATTAATTTGTACTTTCTGTAGATTTCAAATCAAGGGTACAATGTGGGCAGTTTGTACACCAAGTCAACACCTTCCGTCTTTTCGTTTGTCTTTTGTATGCTGTTGGTTAATTTCTTGTTGGCATTGACAAAGCCATAGGCCGAGTTGTTCATTATTTTTTTCTAATAAACTTGCGTTAAATACAGATGCAATGTGCTGAAAATGACGCACCCTACCATTAGATGGCACGACACCGGCAAAAGTACCTCCATCCAGGCACCAACCCAGGATCATGACAAAAGTCTTGTTGCTTTGATGGTCCATTGTTGACACAAGCATCATGAGAAGCATTGCCCTTTAACGCCTTCCACCATGTCCAATAGAATCCTTTACTATGTAAAAAATTTATATCGCTACACCACCTGATAGCAACCCCTTCGCGACTGTGGACGCGATTCCAAAATATTACAAGATACAAAATTTTATTACAACAAGATTCCCTCTTCTTTTCCTGTTTTTTTTTTCTTGTTCTTCTGCCCCATCTTGTGTGTGTGTGTGTGTGTGTGTATTTTAATTAACAATGGCAGCTCTTTTACCTGTAACCATTCAAAATGTCAATTACCAGGAGGATAAAGGTAAAGCGATCGGCAGACCCACTGGCACACATGCCTGTTAACATCCCAACCCAATCCTCACACATTCAATCCTACAGGCTTTCTCGATAGTTTCTTTAGAGGGTACAAGGAAACCATCCCTGGAGCCATGGGAGACGAGGAGGTGAATGTGAAATATGACAATCTTTTGGTAACAGCTTCATTCACGCTTCACTGCCCCTGATACACATATACTGATCCACGACTACCATCATCTAGCAAAATGTAGTGGATAGAGAGCAATCGGTTATTGTCGTTGAATTGGACGACTTGTTAAAGGTGGGTTTGCATTCACATGCGCGTGTTTCTCTCTTCCACAGCATGATCTGACACATCCTTCTAGTTTGAAGATGATCTCAACGAAGTCAATAACCGTGGTATTGTCAATCGCATTGTTAGAAACACAAAGCACTATGTCGACATTACTTGTGATGTGATTGACTCTATCTGTGCCAGCAAACAACCTACCAATGCTGACCTGAGCTACAAGGACAGTGTACTCGATGTGATTATTCGTCAGAGAAGCAACCGTGATGCCAATAGACCCAACGATTCAGACGAGCGTTTCCCTCCTTCCTTGACACGTCGCTAGTAAATATCACCCCTCTCATACAGACATCTCCAAATAACTCACCGTACCTTTTTTCCCTCCCCCTTCAGCGAGGTCTTTTTCAAACCATTGAGCTCATCCAGCGCTTTCGCAGTTCGTGAAATCAAGGGCTCTTCTTTGGGCCATCTTGTCACTGTGCGTGGTATCATCACCCGTGTCTCTGATGTCAAACCCTTCCTCCAGGTCAACACCTACAGTTGTGATTCTTGTGGCTATGAAATCTTCCAAGAGATCAAGCAAAGACAGTTCACGCCTTTGACAGAGTGTCCCTCAGAAGCATGTCAACAAAACAACGTCAAGGGTAAGCTCTACATGCAAACCAGAGCATCCAAGTTTTTGGCTTTCCAAGAGGTCAAATTGCAGGAATTGACAGATCAAGTGCCTGTGGGTCATATCCCTCGTACAATGACAATGCACATGTATGGCGCTGCTTGTCGTCAACTCACGCCTGGCGATGTCGCCAATGTCAGCGGTATCTTTTTGCCTATGCCTTACACTGGCTTCAGAGCCCTTCGTGCTGGTCTCTTGACAGACACCTACTTGGACGTGCAATACGTGCACCGTCTCAAGAAGCAATACGACGAAATTGAGATGACCGCTGCTGATGAACAGATCATTGAGCAGCTCAAGCAAGATCCCAATGTGTACAGCCGTTTGGCTCGCAGTATTGCCCCTGAAATTTACGGTCATGACGATGTAAAAAAGGTATTGTTGCTCTTGCTGGTAGGTGGTGTCAACAAGACCATTGGTGACGGCATGAAGATCCGTGGTGATATCAATATTTGTCTGATGGGTGATCCGGGTGTTGCTAAATCTCAGTTGCTCAAATTCATTGCCAAGGTGGCTCCTCGTGGTGTCTATACAACAGGCCGTGGTTCCTCTGGTGTCGGTTTGACAGCTGCTGTCATGAGAGAACCTGTTACAGATGAGATGATCTTAGAAGGCGGTGCTTTGGTATTGGCTGATAACGGTATCTGCTGTATTGATGAATTCGACAAGATGGATGATTCAGACAGAACAGCTATTCACGAAGTGATGGAACAACAGACAATCAGTATCTCAAAGGCCGGTATCAATACGACACTCAATGCGCGTGCTTCCATTTTAGCCGCTGCTAATCCCCTTTATGGACGCTACAATACCCGCATGTCTCCCACACAAAACATCAATCTGCCCGCTGCTTTGCTCTCCCGTTTTGATATTCTCTACTTGATCCTAGACAAGCCTTCTGATGACATGGATCGTCTTTTGGCTGAGCATGTTACCTATGTCCATACTCACAACAAGCCACCTCAAATGGATTTCAACGCATTAGAACCTCATATGATTAGGTAAGTTTTTTTTTTTTTTTTTTTTTTTTTTTTTTGTGTGTGTGTGTGTCACAAATCAAGTTTAGTGGACAGCGACACTCATTTCATCTTTACCTACTAGACATTATGTGGCCCATGCTAGAAGCAAACGTCCTGTGCTCACACCTGAAGTCTCTGAATATGTCACAAGCGCCTATGTTGGATTAAGACGACAATACAAGCTCGACGAAGATCGCCAACAACAATTCACTTACGCATCCGCACGTACCTTATTGGGCATTATTCGTATGGCTCAAGCTTTGGCTCGTATTCGCTTAGCAGACGTAGTTACACCTGCCGATGTGGATGAAGCTTTGAGATTGATTGATGTATCCAAATCATCGTTGGATGACGATAGTCAAAGACGCGGTGGTCGTCATGATACATCTCCCCTGAGCGGCATCTTTAATATCGTGAAAGAATTGGCCCAGGAACGCAGTGAAAGTGGGTTCGCTTTGTCTATTGTTAGAAATCGTGTTGCTTCAAGAGGTTATACTGAAGCTCAATTGGATGAGGCCATTCGTGAATACACTGCATTAGATATCTGGCAAGTGAGTGATTCTCGTCTTCAAATTGTTCATTAGTTTTATTCTCTCCCTTTTGCCTGTTTTTTTTTTTTCATCCCATATATATACATACATTACTCTCTCTCTCTCTCTTTATTAAACACACACATTTCGTTTTTTTTTTTTTTTGAAGCACTTGAAAAAGATATCAATCAAGCAGCAGATCTAAGATGAATTTACTACATTTCTATTTGAATAAACCATTTTGAATAATAGCATGTACAGAGGAAAAAATGCCACTCGAAAACTTGAGAGATATCACATGAATGCATACTCTACTCTTGGCTGTGGTGCTTCGTCTTACCACCAAGTTGTTGCTGCTAGAAAAAGGGAATAGTTGGTAGCACGAAGATTGCCTTGAGAATTGAACAGAGCTGTGCTCCCTTACCTTCTTCCCATTTACTTTAAAGAACTTTATCATATGGAACAAATTCTCAGTTACTGGCAATACAGCTACTTGATATGCTTTGGTAAATCGTTGCTTGTAGTATTTTGATTGATGCAAATATATATTAACTCATAGGCTGTAGACTTTGATTGGGACAACTATATCCACATTTATGGAAGTTCAAATCGAGCTATCAGCGTAGCCAAGCTGCTATCTGTAGTATCTTTATTCAAAATGCATGGTCAAATTTTATAATCATACTGACCAAATCTCTTTTTCTATATCGTAGGTGGAGGAGGACACTGAAACGAAAGACTTGCCACTGTTAAATTACAGTGTATTTTCAAAATACTTCAAGCTACTGTCAAAAGACAATGGTCAACTCTCAAAAGACGAAAATGCGACACTGGCATCCATTAGAAACCTTTTCAAAAGAATCAAAGACAATTTTGCAGAAGAAAAGGGGGTTTTACTCAACACAGCTCAAATACTATTCATTATGCCTATAGGCTGGACTGAAGAACGGTACAAAGACAAATTGCGTGCATTCTTCTTGGATATAGAATGGATTTCACCCAAAGACAACGAAAGCAAGCTCATCATGATACCCATTATCCAAATGCTGGCTGAATATTTCCAAAACTCGACTAAACAGAAGCAACATTTAGATAGAGAAAGAACCTCGGTATTCGTTTCTGCGCAAATAGCAAACGAGGATGATACGACTGAATTCAGCTACACGTTTTTCAAGATGCAAGGCGCCAAAGAATTGATTGCCGTGTCCAAAACTCTTGCTTCTAGCGATTTCTTCCTTGTACCTTCTATCACTAGCAGCAAGTCCATCTATCTCGCCAATCTGGATACTGCAATGTACAATGCCGTCAAGAGAATTCTTGCTCGTGTCCGAGGCAAAGATCTAACATGTGTATCTGATGAAAATACAGCTAAAGAGGATGACCCAGCATGGACCATTGCGTGTCACTTGCCGCTTATCTACGAAAATAAGGTAAAGAGCCTTTATACAAAAAAAAAAAAAAAAAAAAAAAAAAAAAAGCTTACTGTCTATATTAACCAAATGATGACAATGTAGTTTGGGTTGATGTCCAGCGGGCGTATGGAGATAGCTTTAGAGGACGTGATTTTTGAAAAACGCCATCAGCTGAAAGATTTGAAAAGCTGGACTTGTGGTCAACTCATAGCAGCAGTTTTTGAGGATGCAGATGTCAAGCATTACTTTAAACAAGTGAGCAGTTTCTTCAAAGAGGCTCTGGATGAATTTGGTGCTATTAAAAACTCTCCTGATGGAATTCAGCATATTCTTTTTTACAGCCGTTATTGTAATTCGGATGGCGATGTTTCAACAGGGCAGGATTACAGTGATTACATCAAGCAAGCATTGATCGACGAAAGTATCATTCAACCTGGAAAAGACTTTGATGGAATCAATCTATATTCTAATGCTCAATTCGCTATGCAGCAGCCGTACAAGATGATTCAGATTGCCAACGCTGTACTGCCGCCAGTTATTGTAAATGATAATAAGCAGCAAAACGACTCTTTAATTCAGACATGTAAACACGCCGATAATTTGATTGCGCCAAACTCATTCTATGTACAAGCCAATGTCACTGAAGCTCAAATCAGTTTTATATTGAACAAGGTCGTCGAACTCCCATCGTCCGAAACTGGTATAGGATTGTTCACTATTCAAGAGAGATCAGTAAAAATGCAAGACATAGCAGAGACAGCATTGCATATCCTATGGGATCATTGCCAATCTATGGCCAATTTAGAAGAACAGCAGCATACATTGTTTAAGCGTTGCCAGGACCATGATACGATGGCATTCTCGTCAAGCCATTATAAGGAATTCAAGAAAAATGCAAGAAAACTAATCGACTTGTGGGTAAGGAGCAAACATAGCTATATCAAGACGTTGAATGAGAATTAACACGTACTGTATATAGTTTGCAACTGAGGATACATTCTCTGGAGATGGATCATTAGACGCGTATCATCTGGTTTCGGTGGATCAGCAATGTACCTGTGCTTTGCATCTATCCCAGCGATTGCTTTTGGAAGTGGGACTGAAGCCTGCCATTGTCAGCATCGCAACTACCATCACGAGCGCTCTATTTTCGAATGATTTCTTTGGACTCTATCAACTATCTGCCTTGATTTTTAGAAAAAATCTGGAAGCCATCAAGAATCTCTACTTTTCTTATGCTATTGACCAGATATTGAAGCAAGCTCTGAAAGGATTTTTGCAAATACACCACAACCGACTGTTGCTGTTATTTTATGACAAGCATTCAAACGACAATACATCGCAATACCTTGGCCGAGGTCATTATTCGCAGATACCGAGCATGGCTTATACCTTCAGAGTTGAGTTGCGGCCCATAAAGACTCAGACTATTACTGTTGGGCTTCTGGAAGATGGTGTATGCAAGAGGGTCCCGCTTACACCTGTTGAGCATGATAGGGGTAGGGAACCGTTATTTATGTTCACGCATCCTGGCTTGACCAAAGAGGAAGACATACCTTTAGAAGGGATATGTTTCACTTTTCATATACAAGGTTGCAGCTCCTTGAGCATAGGTACGCAAACACGACCTGGCGCTATACATGCCTTTTATGTTGTACAGTACACTCATACATTGACATCGCTTTAGAGACCTATGTGTCAGGTCATCCTGAGAGAAGCACACATCAACACCTAGTAGGAAGAATGCCGCATCACTTTTCTACTGAACAGAAATTGTGCTCTCCTGTTACCTTTAAGATTTTACCCGAACATTACTCATCAATTATCAAGTGTGTTGCATCTTTCTCATTGGCGTCGTCTCCTGAATACAGCGAATTCATCCAATCTGATATGTCTAGACAAAGTAATGGAGAGCATAATGTGTTTGAGGTAAAGAGATCAATCAACGTCGTTGAAAGGTTGTTTCTGAAGAAACAACTATACGAATAATAAAGAAATGCTTCTGATTGTTTGAATTAATAATCTCGCTTGAAGCATTCTGCCTTGAATAAAAGGCATCCACAAGCCTTTTAAAGACGTTTATGATTCATGACATAGCAAACGCATTGATGCAGATGAAAGATAGGCTGGTCGAGAATTAACCAGTGGTGTTTCCTAGTACTTTCAAACAATTCATTCGTTGAGTGTTTGCTCAAATACGAAACAGCTATACGTATTGACCATCTATTCGGATGAAATAATACCTTCCCAAATTCTTGATCTCAGCGTGGCGTTATCTATGATCTCTGTTACATTCAAAACCCTAGATTAATAAGAGCAGTACTGTATATAGCCCAAGATGTACCAGGTACCACCAAATCCAATCTCTGAATATTGGTAACCCCTGAGGTGTTGGAACATCTTCCAATCAGACACAAGCAAACGGCATGAATTTAAAATCACCACAAAATGTTCTCTCTCTTTTTTTTTTTTTTTTTTTTTTCTTCTTTCCACAAAACCATGACCAATTTGCAAGAGTATGATACTCTTCTGCTAAGGTCAACCAGTACACATAAAGACTGGTGGCGATGGCTTGTCTTGCTTTCATTTTCCTTGTTTTCATTCTCCAGTGCACTCATGTTGGTATTTGTTTCAGTCAGGTAAAGTCCATGATGCTGACTTTGCTTGGATAGGTGGATTACCTTTGCACCATGTCTATATATCTTTGTTCAATACTACTTTCAACATGAAAGTACAGCCACGACCAACGCTATCCACTCGCTGTCTTCAGTGTACATGATGATCTATCCATTTGCAATCCAATTTACGTTTAAATACTTTGAAGATCGACTTGATGGATCACTACCACCGGGTAATGGACTGAGACGAGGTATATTAATTGGCGCTTGTTTGAATGCTGTTGCGGGCGGTGTTCGATGGTTGGGAGCCATTCCGTCCATGTACGGTTTTGGTATATTGTTCCTGGGTCAAACCATTGCAGCTGTTGGTAAGTTGTCAGCTCAGTTTCTGTTACATATCCATATCCAACATACCTCATTTCATCTTTTAGCACAGGTATTCATGTTGTCGATACCGCCTCAACTTGCAGTGGCATGGTTTCCTGAAAATGAAATCAATGTAGCTACCTCCATTGCTGTATCAGCCAACAATTTAGGCATTGCAGCTGGTTGTGCCCTGACGCCACTGATTGTCAAGCAAGCATCCCGAGATACAGATATACCGCATTTACTACTGATACAGGTACGAGATGCGTCTGGATTGAAAACGCACATGCTCATAGCCAAGTTTTAGTTTATCATGTGCCTGATTGTTTTGTTGTTGATTTGGTTTTCCTTTCAGAAACCGCCGCCTTACTGGAAGAGGTACGAACATATACAATAGTGGTATTTATAGCTTTGCTCATCCTTCCTTGTGTATACACTGCTAGTATGATCCATGAAGTCAATTCAGCAGATCAATCAAGTCGATTATGGAAAGAAAAGAAATTTATTTACATGTTGGGATCCTACTGTATCATCATGGGAGCGCAATGTGCCATCATCACCTTACTAGCACAAATCTTGATTCCACCTTTCAAACATGTGATTGACGAAAAACTGGTAGGTCTATTAGGTGCCGCCATGCTGTTTGTGGGATTTCCAGCAAGCATTGGCGTGGGCTACTATTTGGATCAAACACTCAGGTACAGACGAGTGTGCATCTTGCTCTCCATGGTAACCGCTGTCAGCGTATTGTGTTTGTATCTGGCCAGTGAATTTCAGTATTTGACCGGTGTAGTGGTCTCTTGTGTCTGTTTTGGACTCTCATCGTATGGTAAGTACTGATTGTATATGCTACATGTGCTACTATCTAACAAACAGCCATTTGCCCAACAACAGCCATCGCCCCTGCATTCTTTCAATTTGCAAGTGAACTGTTTTACCCCATCAGCGAGATTATACCCACAGGCTATTTATTCACTGTTGGCAACATTGGAGGTGTCTTTCTTGTGGCTGTCATGGGATGGAGTGAAGACATGTCCCTCCAATTTACCATGCGTGTGCCCATGCTATGTCTGTCCATGGCCATGTTTGTCAGTGTTTATTTTATGGCTCAAGTGAAAGGGTCCTTGAAACGCACCATACATCAACAATCACCTTAGATCATCCTTATAGATTAAAGTATACTTTCTTTATTTCATTATCATCACAAACAACACGTTGGAGCAGTTAGCAAATTTATGGTTGATTTAATATTTTTTTTTTTTTGTTGTGTAAAAAAAAAGAAAGAGAGAGAGAGAGAGAGAGAGAGAGAGAGATGGATAGATAGATATATCTATAAAGAGAGTGGTATCCTTTTTTTTTTCCTACAATGGCGACTAATTTTGACGAGCCTTCAAGTGTATATATTGTAGAATATACACACAACGATTGTTTGTTACCATCTATCACGTATAATATAAACTAAGCTATAATACCAAAAAGTGGATTAAAGAGAGAGAGAGAGAGAGAGAGAGAGAGAGAGAAAGAGGAGGAGGGAAACACGCCACCACGCAATAATACCAATACAGTTTTTTGATTTTAAAATTGAGTAAATGATTGACTTGCTTGGCTGCGAATATCAAAATCTTGACTCATCAAGGAAGACACGTCTTGCGACTTGTAATCTTCATAAAACTGTGTATCTTGACTCATGGGATGGCCGCTACCGCTGCTGCTGCCATGTTGACTTGCCATTTCACTCATCATACGCAAACGATCACTTTGAGATAAAGCCAATCCAATCGACGTTTGACTACTGTACAGGTTTTGAGAGCTGCCCATCTGCCATCCCATGGCATGATTGGCAAATGTAGAGGACCCAGGCACGTAGCGCTGTTGTTGCTGCTGCTGTTGTTGTTGCGAGCTGTCGTCATCCGTAGGGCGAGATTTACGATGAAAGACACTAGATTGAGATAAATCTTGTGTGAAAGGCCCACTTGCGGATGGAATAAAGGGGATGCTGAATTGCGAGTTGGGCAAAGAACCCACCTCGGATGGAATATAGCCAATGGGATCATGGGTTTGCATGAAATCTTGTCCGTAGCCACCTTTTGTACCATTACCACGACGATTATCGTTCGCCAAAGGAGGTCTAGCAAAAGCCTCACGGGCATCCACTTGATGAGCAAGGCCTTGACGGAATTTGTCATCCTTGCGATACGATTTCCTGGGTCGATTGAACTGGATCATAGAGACACGCAGGTTGTTGAGAGCACCGTCCACAAGGCAGCCCTTTTCCTTGTAATGCACCAGCAGATGATGCCACAAGGGATGTCTGCTCAGAATCTTGGGGTTGCCCAGAATCACCACACCGTATTTCGCACGTGTCAAGGCCACATTTAGACGTCTGGGATCGCTCAAAAAACCGATGCCCTGATGCTCATTGGAACGCACACAACTGAGGATAATGTAGTCCTTTTCGCGGCCTTGGAACGCATCCACACTAGCGACTTCAATCTCCTTGTACAGGTCCTTGCGCAGAGAGCCGTTGAATTGCATGTACTGCACAATGTAAGAACGCTGGCCTTCGTAAGGGGTCACTACACCGATTTGAGAGGGCAAAATACCAGACTTCATGAAGCGAGTAACAATCTTCTCACAGTTGGAGGCTTCGGTTCTGTTGAGATAGGATGTACCTGAAGTGGAGATCTCTTCATTGCCCAGATTGACGTAGAACATCATGGGGGTTTCAGGCACGGGCCAGGGAAAATCGACATTTTTGCGGATACGTTCTTGCGTGGTGATGCCGTTTTGCAGCGTGCCTTCATAAAACATGTTGCTAGGAAACTCGGATAAACAGGGATGCATACGGTATTGCACTTGGAGACGAATAGGACGGATACCAAGAATGACCAATCTCTCAAACAGGGATTGACATAGACCCGCACGAGCTGCCTTCTTGTTCATGATCACAGGCCCCAACTGCTGGTGATCACCTACCAACACAGCTTGCTTGCAGCCCAACACCAAGGGAATCATGCACTCGGGCTCTGATGCTTGCGTGGCCTCATCAATCAGCACAGTACGGAATCTCAGCTTGGCAACACGAGGATCGCCTGCACCGACACTAGTACAGCAAATGACATCTGCGTTTTGCAAAATCTCCTTTTCACAGGCTCGCTTGAGTGATTTGTATTTTTTTTCGTCGTAGGCGCTCAATTCGCCTTGATCTCGTTTCAGATGAATCAGCTTTTGCAGCTCTACGTTGGTGTCGTTGTTTTGCACTTGTTCATGGAGTGTCAAGAAGGACACGGGTGAGTCCAATTCTTCTCGAGATTTGGCAGTGATACGGACGACCTTGAGACCCGTTTGATGGATTTTTTCGGCGAGCTGATCAACGGCTACATTGGAGGGTGCACACACTAGGACTTGGCCAGGATTCATCTTGGCTAAATGGTACACAATGGAAGCAGAGGTGACAGTCTTGCCAGTACCTGGGGGGCCCTGGATCAAACTCAAAGGCTTTTGAAGCACGGACTTGACAGCGTAGACTTGAGAATGATTGAGTTCAGGCAAAAAGGGAGCAGAGAATCTGTGTACATCGGGGTTTAGGCATGTGTATGTATGTATGTATGTGTGTGTGTGTGTGTGTCATATAGAATCCAAAGAAACTCACCTCTTTGGCATCTGTGTCTTGAGTACTTGAGGTTCAACATCATGTCCCAAAAGACGATGGTAGATGTAGCCGCTCACACTCGTCTCATCCACAGCAAATGTCTTCATGGCAGATTGCATACGATCAAACGATGTCGATTTCCACACGAAATCCACCGAGAAATTGTGCGTGCAGTCAGTGGGAGCTCTTCCAGCACGAGTCAATTCCAACGCAACTTCATCACTGACATTGTTGGGAATCTTAATGACATGACCAGCGGCTTGCCATGCGTCATGCAACTCTCCACGATAGCGTAGACAAAGCTCATCGCCCACTGCTAGCTTAATTTCACCCAATTCGAGCTTTGGAAAATAGAACCAAGCAATGTTCTTTTGATTAAGACCTACATCCCAACGCACAACAATATCATCGCAAGTCTATTTACTGTGATGTTAACTACTGCACGTCCCCCCTCCCCTCCTCTTCTCTCTTTAGACACTTGCCTGAGATTCCTTTAACTTTTTATCATAGTCAGCTTCCATCATGACCAAAGGACCAAAGATGTTTTGATACTGATAAGCATCTTCATATCTGTACACGCGCACACAAGATGGATTAATACAACATAGTTCTGTATATCCACCCAACTCGCATCACTCACCTCAATAACACTGGATGTGGTTCATCATCGACACCAGGTTTCTCCAGATCCTCCAAAGTGGCTTCTCCATTATCCTTCCACAACTCTTCCAATTTGTTGATTTGTGTTGATGAAATCTGACGAGCACGAAGTTGCTCTTGATCAGAGGGGATTTTTACCAACCACGTTAAAAAGCATCTATCATCAATCAATGGCATCCACTGTGTTGTATCCCAATTCATGTCCTTGGAGGAAGGCACAGCAGCACAAGGTTGTCTGTATTCGTTATATATGAGGTGAGTACATGTACACATATACCACTTACTCTCTCCAAACTTACCTGCAAATCAATACAACCACAGTATCACTCTTTGCAGGTATAAAGCCTAACAAGAAGACATTACGACACCCGCAATTATAACATTCCAACACTGTATCACCCAAAGGAGATTCTGGATGAAGAGACACTTCCTTGTGTTTAGCACGTACAAGATGATTGATGATATGAGACCCAGACGTGTTGCCTCTGGAGTTACAGAACCATCTATCACAAGTAACACACTTGACAACAGAAGCAGGCGAATGGATACCGCAGTATTTACAAGCATGGGCTGGCAAATCCTTGTCTTGCGCTTGAACAGCCAAATCTCCAAAATCATCTGTGTCTTCAAACTGGAAATCATTGACAAACGAGGTCGTACCGTTGGCTTGTGCGTTTTCATCTTCGTCGTTTTCATTCAAGTGGAGTGAGCTCAAGTCTGAAGCAGCTGCGTCCATATCATGTTGGTGTCGTTGTTGTTGCAAATGATCTCGTGGTGTCTGCGTAAAATCGCTATACTCGTACTGCGATGATTGCGTATCAGCTGAATATTCCAAGAAGGTAAAATCATCTTGCGATGCTCCCTCAAAGTGATCCATTTTTTATGTAAAAAAAAAAAAAAAAAATAGTAGTGAAGAAAGAGAGAGAGATATATAAAGCGAGTAGTAGCAAAAAAAAAAATCTTTATACAATATGCCCACTGTAGGACGGAATATGAAAACTCTACAGAATATATGAGAACAGATCAATCCTCGCATATTTTTAGATGTCATAAACTATAAGAACCCTTTATTAATGTGGACCTGACTCTTATGCGATGTTCCACAATTATATACACGTAGATACTTTATATACAGACAAGCAGTATACTGGTATTACCTTTTCTACTCAAGAGTGTGCAAAAATCTGGGCGCATTTGAGCTGTGTTTTTTTTTTTTTTTTTTTTTTTTTTCGTCAGAGCAGCACCAAACAGTTGCTCTCACTTGGCGATTACTTCTTGACACCTCTAAACAACATTTTTTGGGATTGTCAAAAAATCGACTCCAAGCCATGAAGTACCCCCCCTCACGGTTTTCATTGAAAGTTAAACGATCGCGTTTTTGACCTTCAAAATGAAGACTTTTATTATGGCATACGAGCCTTTCAACACCTCGGGTGGTTTCCTGACCAACGCTTCGCTTCAGAGGAAACCAACCTACGTTCAAACGGCTCGCGCTATCGATTGCTCTTGCGTATCTTGTCATAATACTGCTACTTTCATGTTGACCCTCCACTTACACATAAAAGCCCTTTATATTATCTGTGGATCTGATTCTTAGGTGACGCTCTACATCCATATACACGTAGCTATTTCGTATACGCGCAAGTAGCATACAGATATTACCCCTTTTTAGTCAAGCGTGTGAATAATACAGCAAAATATGAGTGCACCTGATCCGCGTTTTCTCGCGTTCAAGGCCGTTTTAGATGGTCATAATAGCACCAAACAGTTGCTCTCGTCTGGCAGCTACTTTCTGATACCTTTGCTCAACTTTTTGGGGATCAAAAAAAACATGGTCAAAAATCGACCCAAAAGCATGAGGTATACCCCCTCATGGTTTCCATCGAAAATCAAACAATCGCATTTTTCACCTTGATAAAGAAGACTTTTACTATGGTATATCATGAATCAAAATGTTTCTCTCGATCCAAAGCAACCTCTGAACCCACTTTTGCGAGGCCTTTATATGCAAAATTTCGACATTTTGGCCAGAAACCTCTTTTCATATTTTCGTGATCTATTCAGTAAGTTTATTCAAAACATCTATCTTACTTGGTACCATTGGATGCGCCTTGAAAAGCACACCAAGAATGTATTAGGAAGCATTGGGTGATCATTACACTTTGTATAGTCGAATCTGGCAAGATAGCTCGATCAAGTCGAAAAGCTATTAAAATTGACCAATCTGGAGCAAAATATGATTCTGGATTTGAGTGAATTTTGGCTGCTGGAGCAGGCTTGTCAAAACCAATGCCCTTCTAATCATGAAGGCAATAATAGATGCTTTTGAAGCCAATGGAAAGTAGGTGGCGAACTAGATAGTAAAATATATGTAGCCATGCTATTTTCTTTTGAAGCCTTGCATCTAATAACGCCAGCCCCACCGAAATATTTGTAAAGATCAACTTCTTTCCTTTCCAGGGTTTTGAAGGTGTGCAGAGACAATAAATTATTACGATATGATCTTCTCGCACAGTGTGTATTTCATTCTTACATCTGCTATTTTGATGGTGTGGTTTTTACCTGTCTGTAAGGGATACCTTGCCAATACGTGAAGTCAATCGCACTGACAAATTATCCAAACATTGGAGGGCCGATGGTTCTCTAGACGATATAGACTGATTTAAGATATGCTAGCTTTCAGCATAAGAAGCTGATGGTAGCAATCAAGATCTGTTCGACATGGTAATGTACATGTAGTGATAGCATCGATTTGAGTCTCTTGGGCCATCTGCATCTCCATGCTACTCTAGTGTACCAAGAAGGTTGCTTGGTTGCTTTTTACACATAGCGATGCTAGTCAGAGACATATAGTTTATTCGCACAAAAAAAAAGATCTTTAGTGTATCGAGAGGGGGAGGGGGGTGATTTTCCAGTCATTCCTCTTTTAGGCTTTGGGTCCTGTCAACCATGTACAATGGGAAACTGAGTATTGTCCGGGTCGATAAGGTAGGAGAATCAAAATAATTCCAGCCAAACATGGACCACTCAGACTAGCGAGGAAGGGGGGGGGGGAGGGGACCATCAAACAAAGGTAATAACCAGCAAAGAAATCCTGTATTGAGTCAATCTTCCTCTCTCTATTCCTTAATCGAAATGGCTGCTTCAGGAATCGCTGTTGGTATCAACAAAGGTCACATCGTCACTCGTCGTGTCCTCAAGGCCAAGCCCTCTAACAAGATTGGTGTATGTATTGATGGATGAGATGGATGGATGGATGAAATGTCAATGAGGCTAGAAGGGTGCAAAATATTGGAAACATGTCAAGATCAGTACATAATCAAAACTACGCAGCAGCTAGCGCAAATACAACGATATAACGCACTCACGGCATTATAGATACCACCCATATCTACATACATACATTGGACTTGACCTCCCTCATTGACCGAAAGAAATCCTTCATCTCTCTCACAGATCAAAATCAGAAAAAGCTAACTTGTTTCAATAGGCCGCTTCCAAGCGTGCTACCTTTGTCCGTAGCATTGTCCGTGAGGTCTCTGGTTATGCTCCCTATGAACGTCGTGTCATGGAATTGATCAAGAACTCCAGAGACAAGCGTGCCAGAAAGCTCTGCAAGGCCAAGGTAAGAGAGTGGACACCATCCTCATTGTTGGCATAGACTCATTTATTTTCTTTGATTAGCTCGGTACATTCCTTCGTGCCAAGAAGAAGATTGAGGAGCTCTCCGGTGTCATTGCCTCTTCTCGTCGTCATTAAAATGTTTCCACTTGATTTTTTTTTTGTTTGTCGATAATAAAAAAGAATAGAAACACCTTTATATTATAGTCTTGTTATAATGAGGAAGAGAGGCATCAGGTTGGGGAGGTTATGTGTGTGTGTGTGTGTGTGTAAAGGGGAGAGGACTATTGATGTTGGCGCAAAAGGTGATTTATGCGATCCCAATCATCCACACGGTACAAGGTGCTTGGTTTATTGATATTCTGCTCTACTGCATGTCCAAACTCGCCAAGCGCATTGAGTAGCGATGAATCATTGCCAATGATGATGCCCACATCGGCTTCAACTATATATACAAAAAGTGTTAGTGATTTGAGTGGTGCCAAGACAGATATTCATACCTAGCGCTTCAATATCACCCAAAGAATCACCAATGTAAATGGTCTTGTAGTGCTGGCGAAAGGTGTTGATGACCCTTTGCTTGTCACCTGCCGTTAAGATGGCTGGAAGAATGTTACCCGTACACTTGTCTGACACAGCATCAAACTCTAAATCATTACTAAAGATATGATGCTTTGGCACATCAAGTTCTTGCAAGAATCCCTGGATCCAATCCTTGGACCAATTCAAAGAAATGATACGCACTTGGTCTCTGTAGGCTTGCAATGTATCAATGACACCTGGTTGAAGATAGTCGGCTCGCAATGCGTTGGCTTGTTGTGTCAGTGTGTGTCGAGTCAGTCCCTCAAAGACCTTGTGCTGGCTCACGCGTACCTGCGAAGCTCTTTCAATCGGTTGATAGCTATCCAATTGCTTTACAAACGCTTTGAAGTCTCCTTTGGGAACATCAGGTAGATGGTCGCGATGCTGTCTGTATTCCTCCAGATAACTATCGACAAAATATGACCATGGCTTTGGATTGTGTGTATAAGAAACCCCAAATTTGCCGAGTGGACCGATGGTATCTTGTGTGGTGATGGTCTGATCGAAATCAATCAAGATCAGAGGCAGTGCGGAGGAAGCATTCACATTAAAATGTGGTGATTGCAGGCTTTGCATCGTCCTTTTGTATGCTGTAGAAAAGTATGGACGACGCACTAAAAAAGACATTTCAGGTGCTAGTCAGAGCCATTCACAGAATTGAACCTCATCCTATTTTCAAAGTGGAATCCCCGCTACACACATATGCCAGCATCTATCACCAGCTATGCAATGCATCTGATGTCTACGTTTTGAATTGCAATTGGAGCTTCATCTTGAGAGTGCAATGGGAGCATATGTGCCGAACAAAAAAAAAAAAAAAAAAAAAAAAAAAGAAACATGTGCTTTTGATATGTATTAGAAATCAAGTATAAAGCAAGTAATGTGAATCTAGCGTACGTGTGGGTGTATAGCTGGATAAGCCGTTGCTTGATGGAGTTTGACACTAGCAACTAAATTTCACTTGTCGACTTGATGCTGCTGTAATTCCAACGCTAAGACATATGTAGCTTGCGACCAGTGCTTACATGTACATATATTTCAAGAGGATTTAGTATGACGGATCAAAATGATTGTCCCACAACAGGGAGTTTGATCAATGTTTGGGGTCGAATATTAAATCTATACATGCACCTCATGTTATTTGTGTCAGTATATATATATATATATCATGGCTGATGATAAGTAATCCAATATCGTGTATATTGGAAAGCATTTGCCTCTCACAGCGCAAGGATAAACATTCAGTTGGTTCAATGTCTAATCCGCTCCTACACACAAACTGCTCATTCAAAGTTGCTGCTCTTGATATGTGCACATAAAACATCAACTCAGTAGTCAATCACCAACATTCACATGAAAATGGAAAAGAACAAAAAGTGCTTCGATGGTGATACGTCGTGCATCATTTGTACCATTTCACGTGGAAATAGCCAGTGCTCTTTGAAGCAGCCAGCAGAGAAGCATCTTGATTTCTTATTAAATCATCTGAAGGTAAACTTTGTTTCTTTTCTCTCCCCTCTTTTGATATAAACATATGAATAAAGACTTTGATATATTATCCTATTCAACGTATAAATAGCATTTTTTGAACCTCATAAAAAAAACCCCATAAAAAAAACACTCTTTTTCTACAAACACACAACTCTATTACTCCATGTCTATTTTAGTCTCTAAGGTCATATCTCAAGCAGATAGGCTCCCCATTATCAGCAATGCCTCTCAATGGCTACCTTCCACCATGTTCAGCAGCAAAAAAGAAGAAGCCAACGCAATGAGCAGCTCCAGAAGGTCCTCCATTGAAGATTACTCTACCAATGGGGCTGAATTCTACAATACAACCTCACCTCGTTACTCGATTGCTCCTCCTACCTATGACAATGTTGTCAAGGAGGACACAAAGCGATTCGCCAACGCCCTTTCCACCATATGGAAAAGAGCCTCTTTTTCGTCTGCTGCCTTTACCAACAACAGCAATGATATCAAAATGTCCTCAGCTACTCAACAGAATACCATCGACAAGAAGCAAATGGAACATGCCATCACGTTGATCAATGTAGCTACCGATATGAACAACTCTGGAAATCAGCAAATGGCAATTGATCTCTACATGATGGGGTTGGACAAGTTGATGTCTGCTTTGCCTTGTAAGTGGTGATTTCATGATGGTCAGCTTATATTTACCTTTTTTTCAAATAATGTACGCCATTAGTGGAAGACGCAACAGTAAAATCTGCTCTGGAGAAGAAGATTACAGAAATGAAAGTTACTCATCAGCTCAACATTGCATCTGCTGAGGAGTTGCTTGACGATGAGAAAAAATCCAAAGGGGAGAAATCCACTAGCGAGGATGAGCCTATGCGCTCGCAATTATCTAACCTTGTTATCAATGCAGCTGTGATGAGCGCTGTAGCCCTGAAAAAAAGCCCTATACCAGGTAATCTCGGAATACTATATACGAGCAACTAGACAAATAACACCTATCATCTAGATGCCGTCTCTGCCGTCATGAACTATGCTATTGACAGTATGCAAGTTATGGATGAAAAGCACCAATTGCGTCGTCGTACTTGGGATTTGGCAGCTAACAGCGTTGCAAAGGCAGTTGAGATTGATCGTCAATACGAGATCCATCAAATGGTAACAGGCGCTTTTTACACTGGCTTTGCTGCTTTTATCAAAGCAGGCGTTGCTTACGCCGAAACACCAGGCCATCAAGAAGCCAGCAGCAACAGCAGTGGCAAAGCTACTCAAGCTGCCTAAGCACTATCAACATTTTGAAATAATACGCCTTGATGATTCGGTTATTATTTGTCTACATACAAATTAAAGCCTTATATCAAGAGCCATGATTTCAATGCTTCATGCTGAATAAATATACTAAATAATGATATTTGTAAATATGTAAAAAGTATACGTATCTATCATGGTGTATCCCTGAAAGGATCGCCAATGTAAACTGGACCTCAGTAGCGTTTAACAAGGGCAAGTCAATCACAGCAATTCGATCAAGCATTGCATGATTGATTTCAATGATTGCTAGAACCATGCAAACGCAAATGTATGGTTAGATGCAAGAAGCGACTTTATCAAACGATATATCTTTGGGTACGTGATATCAGTGGTGTGAATGATTTTATCAGAGCCCAACTGGTTGTACCAACACTATCTTTACGCTATAAAAAAAACCTAAATAATTTCTGAGCGTGTGAATCCAAACGTCTGGTATTTGATGATTATCAACAAGATCAGGATACTAGATCAAATCAAATCGCAACAGCCAGAGATCGGATACGATTGCAAACGCAAATCCAAGTCAAGAAACCTACTGGACGCTTTCTAGATTCATACGAGAGCAATGCACTATTCTCTATAGGAAAGACAGCCTCTTACTCACAAGTTGCTAAATTAAGGTCATTGAGAAAAATGTAATTCTTGGTTACAAGGTTCAATGAGTCATTTCTAATTCAATTCCTGCCATCTCGACTTATCAATGATGCTTTTTTGCTTTTTTCGTCGTTCATTTTGCTTCAAAAACCAAGTCGTACTTGAAGAAATACTATGGACAGAGTGTCAAAATTGGCATTGTCTGTGTGGTGCATGAAAAAGAAGCAGATCATGATGGTTTTATATATACGAACCTTTAGTAAAAGAAGTCACCAGCGAAACCTTAAAAAAGTTTTTCAATCCCTTTGATCCAAAAGAACCCAAACATTAAAAAGAGCCTTTGTTTCTTTCTTCACTTTGAATAACAATTTAAAAATGGCTGCACCTCTCACTCACCCTTGTATCGTTGACGGTTGGTTCATGGAAAAGTCCACCATGTGGCCCGGTCAAGGTAAAAAAAAAAAAAAACACCTGTCAAATCATTTGACATGTCGTTCTGATCCCACTTGAAATGTAGCCATGTCACTCAAGGTCGAAGAGATCCTTCACGTTGAAAAGTCAAAGTACCAAGACGTTCTCGTTTTCCAATCTGCCAACTATGGTAACGTCCTGGTTCTTGACAATGTTATTCAAGCCACCGAACGTGATGAATTCTCGTAAGTGATGATCCCAAATAAGCTGTATCTGTGTGTGCAACATGAATTAAACAACATCCTTCTAGCTACCAAGAGATGATCACTCACCTTGCCATGAACTCTCACCCTTGTCCCAAGAAGGTAATATAGTGCAGGATTGCGATTCGTGACATATTCAGGGATATTGATGTGGATGTGGACATGTTGCTAGGTTCTTGTCATTGGTGGTGGTGATGGTGGTGTTCTTCGTGAAGTTGTCAAGCACGAGTGTGTGGAGGAAGCTACCCTTGTTGACATTGATGAGGCTGTTCCCCGTGTCTCCAAGAAATACCTTCCCAACATGGCCATTGGCTTTGAACACCCCAAGGTCAAGGTTCACATTGGTGATGGTTTTGAGTTCTTGAAGGACAAGGCCAACCAATACGACGTTATCATCACTGATTCCTCTGATCCCGATGGTCCTGCTGAATCTCTTTTCGGCCCTGATTTCTTCCAACTCTTGAAGAATGCCCTTACCGAGAAGGGTGTCTTCTCTACTCAAGGTGAATGCATGTGGCTCCATCTTCCTCTCATCAGAAAGGTCAAGGATTTCTGTAAGGATCTTTATCCTCAAGTTGAATATGCTTACACTTCTATCCCTACCTATCCCTCTGGTCAAATCGGTCACATTATGTGCTCTAAGGATGCTAACGTCAACCTCAGAGAACCTCTTCGCAGGTTCACTCCCGAGCAAGAGGATAAGCTCTGCCGTTACTACAACTCTGAGGTCCACAAGGCTGCTTTTGTTTTGCCTCAATTCGCCAAGAAGGCTTTGTACGAGTAAATGTTTTTTATTAATTAATAAACATGGCATACACATACTTTTTTCATTGTATATCTGTACATACCAATACATCTCACTATATCTTTCTTGTCGTCTATTACAATACACTCTTTTAATTGCATGAATCTCTATGAGACATCTACATATTTACCTAAGAGCAATTTGTCTATCGTTTTGCCGTATCAAATGCCCTTTTAACATTTTCGTACCGTGTCCATACCGACGTATGAGTGTTGTGAGCGGTGATGTCCGCATCAGGACTACATCTGGGAGGTTAGCAAGCAAACAAGCAAACAAAGTCGTTAGCATATAAATATCAATTGTATACAATATCAATAAACGAGCTCTTTTAATCCCCTTAAGTTTGTTTTTCTGTTTGGTCTCTATTCTGTTCACTATAGAAGTAGTATTGGTCGTAATAACTACTTGACGTGTCAGAACTCTTGATAGTTGAACAAGCGTAATTTTACTAAAAGCACAGGAAATTTTCATCCCGTTACCGCACCCTCTCAACATTAATAAAAGAAAATAAAAGCCTACCCAATACGAACGTTGGCGAAGACGAGTCCTCTAATGTGGTACTAACTCCATGAGTCGAGCTTTATTTTCCTTTAAATATGGCTAGTTGCACAACACCGCTTCGCGGTGTATACAACGTCGTGCTGCCGCAGGCTTACTCCACCATTAAACAAAGCTTTATATCTGTTGAGAAATGATGAGACTAACGGCCTGATAATTAAAAATGGATGTAGTTTGAGATATAAAAAACTTTATTGAAAGACCTCAGAGTATACTATATTGTGTGTATAATAGTGGCCAGGTAGGTTTTCCAGTACAGAAATATCAGGATCAACCATGATTCTTATCGATGATGGCTTACTGACCCTTGACATTGCGACGTACAACTGACCATGCAAGAAGACGTGAGAGAAAAGATATAATCCAACGTTAGATAATGTTTGGCCCTGCGATTTGTTTATAGTCATGGCAAAGGCCAATCTCACAGGAAACTGGGTGCGACTGAAGTCGAATGGAATTCTACCGTTGGCTTCTGTAATAAACTTGATCCTTGGGATATACACAACGTCACCTGCTTTTGGCCCTGTGGCAATGGTGGCTTCAATTATTCTAACACCCAAAGATTTCACGATTAGCCTGGTTCCATTGCATAATCTAGCTGAAGGATCTAAGTTTCTCAAGATCATTATTGAAGACCCAACTCTCAAAACCAATTCATGTGGAGGCAGAGAGCCAGATTCTATGGAGTTGAGAAGCTCGAGAGGCACCTGCATTCGAAATTGAGGATCACAGACTTGATCATAGCTGTAATAAGTGAACTTTCTTCCCGGCAAGTTGTCAAGTAGCAGATTGTTTATGACTGAGACATCTTGGTTCTTTGGGGGTCAATATAACACGCTTCGCAAAATATTGGTCAATCGTTGAGCTATTGCTGATGTTTGGAAACACAACAGCTAGCAAATCCAGCAAGTTGGTAGAATTGAGCTATTTCAGAGGATGGTGTAAAATCACACATTGTTGTAGATGAGGTGTCGATGGGGATTTTAAAGGTAGTGTGGGCAGTTCGACCTCCTTTCAGCAGCAGAGCTGCCGTTCCTGTTGAAGCAACTGCAATTGCAATTTGATTTTGTTTGCGAACGGCATCCAACAAAGCATTGGTGATGAAAGTTTTTCCCAGTAGGTAAAGGATGTTGCTCCTGGAATTCGATACAACAGAATTCTTAAATGATACTTTTCAATATCTTTTGGAGATACAGCGTAGACTCTGCCAATGGCTCCACCAAAACCTGAACGTCTAGGTTTCCAAACTCTTGGGTTCTGTTGTTTATGAAAAACGTACTTTTCACAGAAGTCCGGATACAAAGTTTGCTTAGCTTTGTTATCTTCAGGATTTTCGAGATTGTACTTGAGCCAAGCTGTCAGGGTTGTTTCTGGAAGTGTACGGTTCAAGGCCTGGTCAGAACTTTCGTTCTCGTTAAAGTACACCCTTCTATCGTTCTCCAAATGGATATCCAGGCGCTGTGTAGAGGGGGTACTCCTTGTGCATAGGGAAAGACATGATTCTCCAACAGGCTTCAGATGCCGAGACATATCTTGCATCAAGAAACTTTTTGATCTCATCCTGATGATCATCTTGAGCAGGTGAACCCATGTATACCTGTGCTCTGTCATGGCCCTTGTATACATATTTGTATATGTATTTGACCGAGTTGACCTGGCTGCAGATCTCCACGTTGATGTGTGCGTTGTATTTAGCGACCAAATAAAGATTATGAGGCACGACCCAACGATTATCAATAGTTGATTCTTCCACTATGCCTGGAAATTGTACGATCAGTCATCAATCAAAACGTACTGAAGAGGATCAAAGAATTGATTGGTTTCATTAATCCTTGTTAGGTTGTCACCAGAACCTTTCAATCTTAAAACGACATCACGATTTTTTGGCTGTTCGTTGCTGCTTTCATCGTCGCCATCAAACAATAGTACACCAATTTCTGGAACTCTAGGTCTATTGTACCTTCTTGGATCAGGAGAATCCTCTGAACGAAATATCATTCGTATATTCTGAATTCCTCCAGGTTGCTCAACTGATAGCTCCTCCATGGTTTTAAATAAGTCAACAAAAGGATTGACTTTGTGCATCATATTTTGGAGGAGACGCACAGTGGTTCTCTCCATGTTGGGGTTTCCAGCAACATTCAGTCGGTTTTGAAGCTCATTTTCCCCATCGAATATATACATTTGAGCAATTTTTGGGCGTGTATCATTTGCTGGCATAAGTGCAGAGCTCATGAGATGATAGACGCTACCGTGAATACGGAATGCGTAGGCACCATTTTGATTATTCGCAACTGATTGACCTAAAGTTGCATTCATGGAGGTAAAGCTGAAAGCAGAATTGTACGTTCTAATATTCGATTTGAACTCTTTGCTAACATCGTCATTGCCACTCAAAAGATTGACAATAAGCTCTGGAAAAATGGTATACTGGCTTCAAGATTGCCTTGCCATCTTGACAGCAGATTTGAAACGTTGGAGAAGCCCTTGTTGTTCTTTGCTTTCTTTCATCAATCCACATTTTGAGCACAAGGCATTCATGCCTCCCAAATCATTTCGGTTAGCCTCAGGTGCTTCAGGATTTCGCGCCATCAAAAAAGAATCTATTGCACCTGTACGTAGAGGATTTTCGGCACAATTATAACGAGATCGGCGTTGGTGTCCTTCTATTCCACAAAAGGGACATACAACTGCTGTTACGATGACATTGGAGTCCAGAGTTTCAGCTGTGGCCTTAGATTGAGAGGCATTTGGAAAGTATTGTACAATTGGTGTTGGAGACGGTTGCTCAGATGGCTGATTGATTGGATTTAGCGCACAGTCAAGATGATTTCTGCGTGTATGTCCTTCTCTATGGCACCATGGGCAAGTTGCTCTTCTGTCAGAAGTATTTCAAAGTATCCTCATTCCACAATCCTTATGCGAACGCCTTTGGTGTCCAGTGCGGCCACACCAATTACACCTTACTATATTCTCGTTGACGGTAGCTCCTAATTCCAAAAGTGGGCTCAGGTACGTTGGAAAAGTTGTTACTGGAATCTTACCTTCAATAGGTTCAGGAACAACAGGATTTGCAGTTTCAGGAAAGTTGTGAAAGACAAAATTTACAGTATATGGCTCAGCTGGAGTATTCAAAAAATCGGCGGTTTCTGCCAAGCTGACAGTAATGGCTGATTTCCCTACGGGCACTCTTGTAATTAACTTTTTACTATGTGGTGATAAAGCTCGACTCATGGAGTTAGTACCACATTAGAGGACTCGTCTTCGCCAACGTTCGTATTGGGTAGGCTTTTATTTTCTTTTATTAATGTTGAGAGGGTGCGGTAACGGGATGTAAATTACCTGTGCTTTTAGTAAAGATTACGCTTATTCAATTATAAAGAATTTGGACACGTCAAGTAGCTATTACGATCAATACTACTTCTCTAGTGTACAAAATAAAGACTACACAGAAGAACAAAACTAAAAAGGGGATTTTAGAACTGTGTTTATTGATATGGCATACGAGTGATATTTATATATAACGGCTTTGTTTACTTGTTTGCTTACTGATTTTGCTAACCTCCCAGATGTAGTCTCGAAGAATCGGATAGCAATTCTTCTCCTTCTTTCGTCGTTAGTGCCCCTCCCTCTCAGCCTTGCTCTGTCGGTCCTTCTTCGTCACTGTCACAGAGCACAGACATTGCCATCACTGAAGACTCTTTCTATGTCGAAGATGGCTCGCAATCGCCAGAAAATTTATTCGAAATGAACAATTTGACCCTTGGCGCCATCACACAATCTTTGGGTCGTAGCACTGTATCAAACACTCAATTAATATAGAATATTCAACTAAAAGGCTATGATATCTTCCTGTACACTCTCTATATCTACATCCTTATATATCTCGATCAGCAACAGCAGTAGTGCAGCAGCAGCAGCAGCAGCAGATCTCAGATTGCATATACTATTTGTAAGTATTTGCATTTAACAAAAATGATAAACCAATACGTTAGCGAGGTAGCAGAAATGAGGGAGCAGGTGAGGAGGTTCAGATCAATAAACCTGAGAGATGACAACCAATTAATCTCTGTTCAATTGTAGCACCTTGGCCGACTGAAAAAAAAACCCCAACTTACAATAACAGGTACCAAAAACTGTTGTGTCAAATGTAGAATTAGAGAAAAGACTTTGAAGGGTGTTCGAAATAAAGTATTTCTTAGTAAAGATAAGGTGCTGTTCATTTATTCAAAACTTCAAGATTATTTATAGCTTTCCAATTTCTATATCGTTTGTAACTTCATTGCTTGTTCAGTTCAAATGTTGCCCATGAAATCTCTTCGCATGTTGTTTATTCCAGTATTGATGTTTGATAGATAAGACCAAATTGTTGAGAAGATGAGAGCCTTGTAAATGTGTTGCTAATTATAAGTTGGTGGTTTTACATTGTTTTTCTTATGTGATGCTGTTGGTATCATAAAATGTGTATGATGGTAATCTCTATGCGTGGACCTAAACTGTCCCCACATATTTCACATGAATTCCTCTAATTGAAAGTAGCTTGATAATCTAAAATACATCCACCAAACACTGATGCAATCATGTTATATGTTCTTGATGATCCCACATCCATACTTGAATAAACCTTTATTGGTTTGCTTGCACTAGCTAGTTGCTTTGTATTGATCATCCTCCCTCATTTTGAATCACTGTAACTCAACATCCTTAGAATGATGCCTGTACACACTCTCGCAGTGAATCTAGCACTTCACGTGACCAGAAAGCGTCAATAAAATTATTAATTGATAATAAACAGCGCGCTTACAAAAAATATACAAGTCGCTTTGTCCGAGTGGTTAAGGAGTATGACTAGAAATCATATACGCTCTGCGTGCGCAGGTTCAAATCCTGCAGGCGACGATATCTTTTTTGCCAAAATCACTAAAGTAGTGCACGTAGCGAATGCTTTATCATTTGGATCAAATAGTACATCCTTCAGGGACCACTTTGATGGCTCTTTTTTTTTTTTTTTTTTTTTTTTTTTTTTGGCTCATCAGAAGAATACCAAACACACAAGATGTTCATGAATGATTTATTAGGTTCAAGCTTTATTTAAAACCGAAAAGGACATCTTATAAAGTCTATCAACAATCGATTTTGAAATCACATATTCTCTTTTGAACAGCATTATCTATCACCAGCATTTATTTATTCTTCTTTGATCTCCTCTTATTACTCTTGCTATTTGATTTAGGTGCCTTCTTGATGGCTTCGTCGCTGCCATCAATATCTTCTTGTTCTTGTTCTTCGTTTTCGTCTTCATTTGGAGGCGTTGATGAAAGTGTGGTTGTTGTGGTTGTATCCGCATCAGCAGGCGAGGAGGCAGATATAGGAGTTTCTTCTTCATCGTTTTTTGCTTTTGTTACAGTACTTGTCTCGTTATCCTGGTTGGCCTCTTTTGCTTCTGCTGCTACTGTTGATACAGTTGCCTCGTTCATAGTTGCGATTGTATTTACTGTACCATTTTCAATCCTTTTTCTTGCAATGATGCTCTTTGCTCTCTTGATTGTGTCAACATCGATAGTGTTATCCTCCCCAACCACTTGCTGCTTTTGTAATATCTGATTGATATAGACATACGCATCACCAAATACTTGATGCCAATGATCCGCCGGTGGATCGATGGGCACTACAATTAGTAAAATCACCATGTAAGACAGCATGTCATACGGCATTCACTAGGGTCCACTTACTATTACTACTCAAATTGTCAATGGCTCGCACAATATGACGCTGAACACCTGATTTTGAATCCTTGCTCATAAACAAAAGTGTTGGCAGCACATTGAAGCAATCCTTGTTCTTCCTTTCTCCCGACTTTTTGTTACTTGTCAGCATGGCTTCGTTGTTCTCCTCTGCTTACATGTCAGTGATACAATCCTGTAGTTTTCACAAGGGCAGCAACTCACCATAAAGAGCTAAATTGGCCAAGCAGCGAGCTACATGGCGATGTATTTCGACATGCTGAGGAAAGACATGACACACATTGCAGATGTATGCAAGCAAATGGGGCTGCGACATCAAGTTGATTTGTGATTCATCTACATTGCCGTGTTAGCTTTGGTACCATGAATGTGACACTGGATGTTAAACTCACTGTTTGTGGCAAAGTTGGCCTATAGCAATGTAAAGTGTCAGAACTAGCATCAGGCATATGTGTAGATAAAATATTACCAAAGCACAGCATGCATGAGATACCGCAGCAGAGTTGATGGATTGCACTTGGGCTTTACCGTCCTGTTGCCCCTTTCCTCCATCGCCGTCGTACTTGCCAACATCTGCTGTCTCCTTTGCCAAGTAGTATCCAAGGTCAGTCATTCTTGCCTTTTTGCTGATAGAGACTTGTATCTTTAGTGGTAAAACTGCCAAGATGGAAACCAGTGCTTTGGATCCATCACCAAACAATAGCGCCGGCTTGTATTTATCTATGTACATCAAGCTGAGTTATTCCCACGTTGTATCATCTCGACGACGACAACAACACTCACCATTGCGTAGTGACAAGTAAGCTACCGTCTTTGCAATGTATTTGCGCATCTCATCATTTGGCGATCTCAGTAGGGTGGGTAATCTATCTGTCTTTTGGATCAATTCAATGATATCCGCCTGAAATGAAACCAGTGAACTGATGGCTGATATCGCCTTTGCAGCCAAACTTTGTATGATCGCCACTCGTTCCATCACTTGTTGTTCATCGTCTCCAGTCGCAGGCACTTCATCTGAGCAAATCCCTTTCTCCAATTGCAAATTTTGAATGTTGAACGAAGCCAGCATGAGCAGTGTGTCGAAAACGCCATCTGATATCACTTCCTTTAGACTTAATATACCAGCTCTAGATAGCTGATAGAAAATATGTGTACAGTTGATGACAATTTCCAAAATGATACTTTGACGTGATTCAAAGGGATTAGTAACTGTGGATTCGTTAGCAGTAGCAGATGAGGAGGATGGGTTGCTGGCCAAACTAGGTGTCATGGTACTAGAATGGATCGAATTCACCGGCGATTTCTTATGGTTGTTGTTGGTGCTAATGGGCTCCACATGGGTGTAGTATCGTACCAGAAATAATAATGGCGGTAATGCCCACTTTGTGATGATGACAGGGCGAATGGATTCTAGGTAAACAAAGGATGAACATTGCAATCATGCATTTGCCTCAAATGCCCTGGCGTACCTTTTTCTGCCAGCATAGCTAAAATAGTAGTTGTGAGGTGATGGAGCTTGATACTTTTGGATGATCGACATAGCCAGATAAGAGCGTCCACGCCACCATAGGCTACCATGTTGTGTAGATGCTTCTCTACAAAAGTTGAAATGGTTGAGTGAAACACGGTTCTCCCCTCCTTGATTCCCGCTGATCCTGTTACCATCATCCTTTTCCGTCAACTCCAACAATCCTCGCACGCCGTGCATCTAATGAAAGACAGCAGTAGTGTGAGTAATATAAAATTGAAATTGCTCCATATCTACTCTTACTTGAGTACTCAATCCATGGTCTTCATCAATGGCATAAGTGACGAGATAGGCAACATCAAAACACCCGTTGCACACTCGAACAGGTTTTGTACCGTAACCCAACTGAGGCAAAGGCACTTTACGACTTGAACAATCATGGCAAAATATATTTCCACTGTCATGTGCAACATTAGCTATGGCTTCAAATGGGAGAAATAAGTCGTCTTTACCAGTTTCTACAGTGATGCTATGGTATACAAAAAGAGATAAGAATGTGTATGTGTGTACATGATACGACTCTTGTTTACCCTTCTTTTCAGCGGTCCAAAAGTATGATTGCATAAAGAGCAATATGCTACATCCAAGTCATTCACCCACAGGGGCCTTGGCAATAGAAATGTTAAACGGTCATCGTATGTTTGCATTTGAAAAATACAAGTATAAAGGAGGAAAGGAAAAAGGCGAAAAACATAACAAGAGGAGAATGGATTAAATCATGCAGTGATGACCTCTCTGAAGGAGGGGAGCCAATCAAATTACCACTTTGCTGGTAATCTGCTTTGATAATCCACAGGGTCATTCCTTTAACGCAAAGTGAATGGTTACTTGTGTGCAATTATTACCCCAAGTGCACCGTTTATTAAATGCTTGTCGTTTGCTTTATTTACATCAAGTGCCATGTAGCTCATGCAAAAAAAAAACAAGAGACTTGAAGGGAATTTACCAGATTCAAGCATTTACATTGACTGGCAAAACGAGCATAGAGCCAGATCCGCCCTATCCGATAGAGAGGCAAACTCTGTAGAGCTTTGGGTACCACACCAACAGCATCTCCGCTCTCTCTCTCTCTTCCCTTTACGACTTTTTCATCTCGGCACCTCTTAAACTTTCTCATGTCCTTGAATTTTATCAGAAAAATGTCCAATACTGTCTTATCTTCATGCTCTCCATTCAAACTGGCCCTCGTTCAAATTGGCGCAGGTGCTGACAAGTCCAAGAATTTGAGCCATGCTCGTGAAAAGATCATGGAAGCCTCCAAAAATGGAGCACAAGTGGTTGTTTTGCCCGTAATGTATTTACACACTCATGGTACACCCACCTACTTATCAAATCCCTCCCTTTCCTCAGGAATGCTTCAACTCTCCTTATGGCACCAACTTCTTCCCCGATTACGCCGAGCCTTTGAATGGAGGTGAATCCACCACCATGTTGTCGAATGCTGCCAAGGTATAGCACACGCTACTCTACTGATAACACACTGAGTATGACTAAGCAAAATTGGTTATGCTTGCATGATTATAGGAAGCCAACGTATATCTCATTGGAGGCTCCATCCCTGAAAAAGAGGAATCCACTGGAAAAATTTTCAACACATTGACAGCTTACGATCCCTCAGGCAAAATGATTGCCACACACCGTAAAGTTCATTTATTTGACATTGACATTCCCGGAGGCATTACCTTCAAGGTACTGATACGAAAAGAGAGAATCCCCATGCCATGTTGCTCATGACATTCGAGTAGGAGAGCGATGTATTAACTGGTGGAGATTGGCTGACCCACGTAGAAACAAGTAAGCTGTGGACCTGGAGATCAGACGTAGCATTTTGAGCTAACAGCACATTGTACGTGAAAAACAACAGAGTATGGCAAGCTGGGTGTTGGTATCTGTTATGACATGCGATTTCCCGAGATGGCCACCATCGCTGCTCGCAAGGGCTGTATGGCCATGATCTATCCTGGCGCATTCAACATGACCACAGGTCCCTTGCATTGGGAGTTGCTGCAGCGTGCAAGGTAAGTGGTGGTGCATGGTCAAGACAGAATGATACTGATGCCCTGAATATTAGAGCTGTCGATAATCAAATGTATGTTGCTGCTTGTGGACCAGCTCGTGATGAGAGTGCCAATTACGTTGCCTGGGGCCATTCCACTATTGTGGACCCCAAGGGTAATGTTGTCTCTACATGTGAAGAGAAGGAAACCATCATTTATGCCGACATTGGTAAGCTTAAAAAAAAAGGCACACACACACAGAGAGACTAAATTCTTTTTTTTGCTAGACCCTGAATTGATCAAAACTACACGCGAATATATCCCTCTCTATCACCAACGTCGATTTGACATTTACGGCGATGTATCCGAAACAGTGCAAGAAAATTCACAAGGGCAGGTTGTTAAAAAATAAGTGATTTTTATTAAAAGACGGTGCCCAAAGCCTCAAACCAGCTCACGATGCTGGAGTCTGTCTGCACACACTCTTTGAATTCCTCAAAATTGATGTATCCTTCTCTTTCGGTTTGGATGCTTTTAAATGTCTTGTCCACCATTTCATTGATAGCGCCTTGAGACATGGTTTCCATGATGGGAAATTTCTCCTCCCATGCCTTTTTGTCTTGCTGCTGCTCTGATCTATGATTCAACTGTGGTGACAATGTGGCTGTCTGCGTACTGTCATTGTTAGTATAAGCTGGGGAAGACAAGGAGAGTTGTTGACTGTCTGAGCGCAACACGTTGTCTGTCATGGCGTCTATTTGAGCTTCAGAGGCACTGGCCACTGCTTTTGCCTGTTCAGCTTCTATTGCATATTGTCGTAAAAAGTGGTCTTCTTTCAAGGGATATCGCTTCTTTTTGTTTTTCCTAGTGCGAGATGGCCCTGCTGATGCTGATGTGTCTTGATCTTTACTGTTTTTGTCATATTCCTCGTCTTGCTCGTCCCCTTCGTCCCCCTCCTCCTCGCTTAAATTGCGGTCTGACGGTGTAGATGGCATGGCTACATTGAATGCAGCACTGACTGGCTGTGAAGCAGAAAACTCAAATGTATCCATCATTTCATCCTCCATAGCGCTAACTACATCTCTCACGAGTTCCATTGACAGATAAAAGTACGATTTGTACATGCGGTACAGCTCGTCCCGAGAAATGTATCCATCTTCATCCAAGTCATAGCCTTTGAAAGCATCTACACAGAAAGCTTTAGATGAAACCTGTATCATATGCGCAAGCTAGCTGAACCTACATTCTATCTTTTCATCCAAATTGCCTTTGCACAACACACTTAAGCCTGCTACAATCTCGGAAAAGTTGATAATGTTATCACCATCCTGGTCAAAGAAGGCAAAAATGCGTTCTGTAATGAGATTCTTCTCTAAGCCCAGAGGGCCCAAACATTGCTCAAATGTTTCTCGATCTATGCCGCCCTCGTCTTTATCCACTGTCGACAGTGATTTAAATTGCTCGTACAAGGCCTCCAATTCCACTTGATCGACTATCACCATGTTGAGTATCCTTACATCATCCGAGCGTTGATAGCCTACTTACAGTGTGATGTGTATTGCAATTCCCTGTATTTCTCTGCGGATATAGGCGGTTTGTTGTGGTGCTTCCCTGGATAGAATGCAGGCAGTAATGCGCTTCTTGGATTCGCAAGTGGTGGAATAGGGATGCGGATCTTCAGAAACACATGCGTATTGACATGACTATTAGCACCTTCACACATTTCACAGAGATCGAAATCCACGCAATTGGCACACTTGTAGCGTATACCTCGAATGGGCGACATGTTGCATTTGTTGCAAGTGATGCCTCCTGCACTCTCAAAAAAGTTACTCTTTCCATTTCATTCAGCATGTCTCTCTCACTTACGATGAATAAATCCCTCTAAACAGCTGCACGTTAGCCATGATTCATGATCTCCTGATCTCTCTCCATGTGTTGGGCATTTTACCTTTGCGTGATTGATTTTCTGATATAGCGTGCAGCAAATTCAACAGATTTCGATTGTCATCTTCGCCCCACTCTTTGAATAATGACAACATCTTTCGATTATCAGCGTCTTCCTCGGCCTCTGACAGCAGCGCATTTGTATCAACATCATTGCTGTCTGTCAGATTTCGGTTGGCATTGTTGTTTCTTCGTCTGCGAACGGTGCGAGAACGTCGTAGTCGATTGGGTCTACTGTGTGTGGATGCATGTTCACTTGAATTTGCTTGTGTGGATGTGCTGCCATGAAAAGCGCTGCTAGATGATGAGGGTGATAATCCATTGGTTTGCTGCCTGTTTCTTAGCCAAGATACAGCTGCTATGGCTACGAGTCCAGTTAGTGCACCCGATGCAATTAGAATGGCTCGAGATATCCGAGGTGCCATTTTTATAGTGATTACAAAAAGCAAAGAGAGAAATGAAGGTGTGATGAAACAAGAGACTGCTTAAATAATTCATGCTCGCAAAAAGGAGGCCAATACAAATTAGAACAAGAGATTTGTTGACACAGCAGCTTCTCTCTCTAGTTTAAAAAACTTTTTCTTTTCCTCTGCTACAATCATGATAGGCCCTGCTATACCGGAAGCTTTACTCAAGAAAAAGCAGAATCAAGACGAGATTGATATTGCTTTATCAGACGACGAGCAAGATCAAGTCGAGCAACAACAAGTTGCTGGCCCTCAGATACCGCCTAATTTGCTGCAAGAGAAAAACAGACAATCTACCAGCACAAATGAGGAATCCATTGGTCCTCAAATACCTCAGCATCTGTTGGAGCAAAAGAAATCAACCAGGAATATCGATGAAATTGCTATTTCGGATCAAGACCAAGACGAAGAAGAACAAGTAGCAGGTCCTCAAATACCACAGCATCTCCTCCAGCAAAAGAGATCGACCACTGTCAATGCAGACGAAATTTTCATTCCTGACATGGAAGAAGAAGAAGAGCAGACAGCAGGTCCTCAGATACCTCAGCATATTTTGGATAAAAAGAAAGCTGCTTCAACACTAGAAAATTACGGTGATGACGAAGAAGAGGATCCAGATGTATTTGCACCAGCTCTTCCTCCTGATCTTTTAAAGCAACGTCAAAAGCAACAATCACCACTACAACAAGAGCAAGAGAAGCAACCTTCAGGTGGCAGAAGACGTAGACCTGTGGGTCCAAGTTTTCCACCTACTGGACCCATGCCAATGCCTAGTACGGATGATGATGATTTCGTTGTGGGCCCTGCATTGCCAAAGAACTACAATCCAGAAGAAGAAGCAAAGTACTCTGCAATCCAGGCCATTGAGGAGCGCGCCCGTTTAGCAAAAGAAGCCATGGAGCAGGTAATATTAATCAAGTTATGGAGAGTGCATTGTACTGATCTATCCATTACGTAGAAAGAGGCAGGCAAAAACAAGGTAGAAAGACCAGAGTGGATGTTGGTGCCTCCTGAAGTAGATTATCTGAAAAAAGCTGGATCTGGTAAATCAAGACAATTTACAAACAAAACTATGGCGCCTGAAGATCTCGACTCCAGTGGTTGGACAGAAACGCCTGCTGAAAAGCAACGTCGACTAGAGGAGCAACGCCTAGGAAAGAGAAAAGTAGATGCTGATCAAGATACAGGCCCGTCTCAATTGGACATTGAGAGACACCGCAATGTCCTACAATACAATGTAAGTTTCGTATAGCATGAGTGGATGTGGCCCAAATCTCATACTGACACGCAAAATTGATCATGCAGATGCAAACAAGACCATTGACATTGTTGGAAATGCATCAACAAAAAAAGAAAAAGGATAGAAAGACAAACGGGCTCACTGCAGAGGAAGATGTAACAAAACGTGCTTTTGATCGTGAAAAGGATCTTGTGGGTCACAAGCGAATCAGTAAGAAGGATAAAGACGAGTTCTTGAGGAAATCTGCTGAATTGGGATCCAAGTTTGGTTATGGAAAGAGTTCATTCTTGTAAATAAAAGGCTTTAGTTGTAAATACTGTGATTTTGGTTTGTGGATGCGTATTGATGAAGCGATGCATTTCTTGGATCGAATCTTGGAAGCAAATGTATTATGCATTGTATAATGGACCATAGGGATTGAGCATGAGTAGAGATACGTAGTATAGCAAAGTCGCTTATTTAGATATTGCAGACACCAGTGGCGTCATTTAGTAACTAACCAATGTCCTGGTTTTGTAGTGTAGTAGTAGTCTATGACATTTCGTTCCATGGCTTCCTCCACTAAAGATCACAATGGCACATTTAAGGGTCCAAAGTCATTCCAACAAGCCAAAAAATCATGGTCTGTTGTCGTATCTGGTGGTTCAAACATCAACTCGAGTGGTTATCTCTGCCTCACCAACCCATCAGTCCCAAGGTGAACCTAAACCCCTCACCTCCAGCGACGCTAGCACACCTCCTGTCGATCACTTCTCTCACAAAGTTGCTTGACCCTTTAGAAAGGCACAGTACCTCATTCTGTCCTCATCGACATTACCCAAGTCTTTGACAGACAGAAGGAGTTCATTGATGCTCTGAACCTCTACTGCCAACCAACACCTATTTTTGGGCTGTATCTGAACACATGCGCAGAGACAACAGCCGAGTATATGCTGAAATCTCGGTCTCACCCATGATGTACCAACAGATGCTTCACCAGCCTGCTCTTGAGCTCAAAAATTTTGATGAACCATTGATGTCTTATCCCACCCTTTCGCCCTCCGCAAACATCGTGAAGCTTTCACTGACTCGTTTGCCAGCTCAATACGGCCGCAAAGATGGTGGCACTACCCAACTAAAAGCTGATATACATCACAGCCTCGACAAATATGGACAGTTGATCGACTGTGGTTATGTCATTGGCGGTAGCAGCATCTACGCCAGTGGTGATTATGCCGTTTTGGCTGTCAATTCTACCTACACGAAATTCGAACACTCGCTCAATTGGACTTACCAACCGATTGACTTCTCCTCTGGCGATTTGCTTCCTGAAAGAAATAATATCCTTTCTCTTGCAACCTGGGCTGCCATGCCTCCCTATTGCAAATATTGCCATTCGATGGATCATGCACTGATCGATTGCGAGACCCATAAGAAGAAGCTTACCTATGATTTTTGGGGTATTGCTGGTCATTTCCAACGTTCTTGCCCTCGTCGCAATGAAGACCCTGACAACTCTACCAAGAAACGTAAGGGCTCCAAAGCGCAACAGAAGCAAGTGACCTCTGACTCTTCCACTGCCAATTCCAAGTCCACCGCCGCTGTTAAGAAGGTTGCTACCGCTCAATTTGCCGCTGCTGCTAAAACTAAGGCCGCTGCTGAAGATAGGGTCGCTGCTGACGCCGAAGCTACTGCTGCCAAAGTCGCTGCTAATGCTCATTACGCTGCCAACGCTTACACAGAGGCTAATGCCCGCACTGATGCGAATAATGCTCAGGATGCTGCTAACACTCTCAATGAGGTAAATGTTAACACTGCTTCTCCTAAACACAAATACCGCACGCGTTCAACCACTGGTAGTTCTCCTCCTGTGCAACTTTCGCTTTTATCCCATAATAACAAATTTAGTATTAATCAAACGCTAAAACCGTTTTCTTTATATCGTTCAATTTTTACAAGCATATAGCTATAGGAGCACAAGCTGTGATTGGCCAAAGTCATTAGGCACATTGGACAGTAATGTGAGATGCTTGAAAAAATCAAGTTTTATTATTTAATAGGTCCTTAATGCTTTGTCCATTTCCCTTTATCTTTGATAACAGCCTCAATACGTCGAGGCATGCTTTCTATAACCTTTTGACACTCCTCCTGCTTCATTTGGCCATACCAGATCTCCCTTACCCGTTCATATAATTCATTCATACCCTAGGTTGCGGTTTCATACTCATTGAGACGCCTTTTCAACAAAGCCAACATGTTTTCGATGGGATTCAAGTCAGGAAATTGTGGGGGCCACTCCATGACCTGGTATGATTGTTCCTGAAGGTAACCCTTGACCAAATTTGACGTGTGTTTGGGATCATCGTCTTGCTGGAATATCACTTGTTCACGGCGGAAGCCAAATTTATCGATGGAAAAAGTAATAGTCTGCTCCAATTTGCCTTGCAGAATCTCCTTGTAGAGTGCCTCATCCACATTACCATTTATCTTGCACATCCAGCCAACACCAGCATACTACGTAATAGTACTCCAAAGCATGATACTACCACCACCATGTTTTACTGTGAGGAGCTTGACATGGTGGTTTTGAAGCTGTTCACCAGATCGAATCCAGGCCCACTGTGGTCCATCTGAGTTGAAACGGTTAATTTTGGTCTTGTCTGTCCGAATAACATGTTTCCAATCGTCAACAGTCCAGTCCTTGTGCTGTTTACACCACGCATGTCTCTTCTTGACATTAGCGTCACTAAGCAAAGGCTTCTTTTCCTTCTCGATAATAACCTCCAAGCCCGCAGTGTGGAGTGCTCTACGAACAGTTTCCGGGTGAACCTTCATCTAGAAATTTTTCTCGACCATTTTTGGCCTTGACGGTGCTTGGAACCCGCTCCTTGGTTACCTATCGAACACAATAGCGCTTGTCGGCTTCAGACAACACCCTAGGACGGCCACCTTTCGAGGTTTTCACATTCGGACAATGCTCCATTCTGATTCGCCCGATAGTAGACTTACCCAAAGACAGTTTTTCAGCAATTTCCCGAATCGAAACACCGCTTCGAAGCATCTTGATTGCAGAATTAACCTTGGAGACAGCAATGGCTTTTATGGCTTGATAATCGACGTACCTGATATTTAGAACTCCGATATGGATAATGGAGACTGCCTGCGCTACATGAGGCTTTCTTATACGAGGCTCTTGAGGTTATTCCAAATTGTAGGTTTCAGTTATCACCGAATTCGTGATCTTTCAAAAGATCTCACAATACTGTCCCAATGTACCTTATGACTTTGGCCAATCACAGCTTGTGATTCTACAGCTATATGTTTAGCTTTTAGAATATACAGTGCGCGAAAAAAACGTTCCAGTGTTTTGCCAATTCGTAGTTTTACACTTACAGCTCTGTCAAATTTTCTCCAGTTTTAAAACTAAAGTAAGACTACAAAAGCTTGGGTTTTTAGTCACAAAATGAGCTACTAAAATAATTGGTACAGTAGATATTGAGCTAGTGCAACTGACGTAAAGTAAAAAATTTCGATTTTGTAAAATTGGAAATATCGCTTGATGACCTTATTGTTTGTATACATTCCACGAAAATGACCCGAGAGCCGTAATTTTTTATATCATTTATGTTTAAAATGTTAGTTATCCGAAGAATGCTTAAAAAAGTATAAAGCGTGAGATTTTGGTCTTTCCCCTCATTATATTTTACCATCTTTACTTCATCACTTTTTTTAACATGACACGTCCCATTCCTCAGGAGGTTCAAGGATCTGTCAAGGCTCTTTTCAACCAAGGTTGTTCCCTCCGTGCCATTCAAAAAATCTTCCCAGATTTGTCCGTCAGTGTACTTTCTCGCCACAGGAAGAAGTTTTTTGGTCATTCAAAACATGCCAACCCCGGAAGACGCAGCAAAATCACTACGCAGAATATGAACTACATTGAGAGGAATCTCCGCAATGGTAATTTAGACGGCCCCAGGGGTGTGCAGTGCTACCTTGCTCATATGGTAGTTCAGATGACTTTGAGGAATATACAGTATATACTTAAGCGCAAAGGGTTCAAGGCTAAAAGAAAGATAAAGACCAATTTCGTGTCTGCGGAGAACCGGAAAAAGCGTTTTGTGTGGGCCAAGAGACATCGACATTTGACTGCGGACGATTGGCGTAAATGGGGATTTTCCGATGAAAGCAGGGTCAACATGTGGGGATCTGACGGCGAATCTTTCTACTGAACTGACAGGCCCACTGAGTTGATGCCTCATCAAACTGAGGCTCAAGTTCAGGAAGATGGTGGTGGCGTTGTTTTCTGGGGCATGATAACAGTGGAGGGACCCAGCTATGGCTCCACCATTACCGAAGGAACTGTTAACTCAGAAGTTTATGCTGAAATTCTGGACTCATCTTTGCTAGACATTATCAGGTACTATTGGCTGGACAAGAAAACGTTTAGATTCCAGCGAGATAACGCAAGACCACATACTTCTGGTCCCATTAAGAAATGGTTCACGCATCACGGATTCTCTGTGCAAAGTGTCCTTGATTGGCCCCCCCCAAAGCCCTGACCTAAACCTCATTGAACATGTCTGGCATCAACTAAAACGTCGTTTGAACAAGTACCCTACTAGGGCCAACAGCCTTTCTGAGCTAGAAGGCAGAATTGAACAGGAATGGTATAAATTCATAAAAGAAGACTGTCTTAAATACATATGCAGCATGCCACGCCGAATCAAAGCGGTTATCAAGAGTAAAGGTGGTCCAACTAAATATTGAGCTTTTTTATAAAATTTAATAAATTCGACTTTTCACTTTTCATGACGCTACCATTCTTTTTCTAATTACGTGAATAAAGTGCATAATATATCATCTGATAGCCAACTGCTTAGGCTATTAATGAAACTAAGCAAACCCTAGTAGCTTTGATATTTGCAGAGAAAACTGGCTATAAGTGCAATTTGGCAAAACACTGGAACGTTTTTTTCGCGCACTGTACTAAATTCATTATTATTGGATAACTTCCCGTCCGGTGGTAAGGTCTGAAAGTAAAAACTGCTAAACATTGGGACAGTTTTGTGGGTCACGGTATATGTTCTATGAATAATATTTTTTTTTGACATTTTACTCTATAATTTTTTTTTGATATTTTACTCTATAAATATATTATTATTATTATTTTTATTATTATTATTATTTGTAATCACGATTAATCGAGTACCTCGATTACACGATTTGAGCAGGTCCAAATTCCTTGATGAACTCAGGTAATGGGATGCAGCGAGATAGCGGATCAGCTATGTTTGAGGGACCCGGTTTGTATAAGATCTTGAAATTATATTTCATGACAGCAGCGCATCATCTTGACAACTTGGGAGATTGCTTAGTTGGGTTGAAAATGTAGACCAAACTTGAATGATCTTTGATCAGTATAAATTCCCTCCCTTTGAGATAATGTTGAAAGTGTTGAATTGACCAAACCACTGCAAACGCCTCGACCTCATGGATATGCCAATTCTTTTCAGATCTTCTAAGACTTCTGGAACCATAGCCAATAACTTTCTCATTACTGCGACCGTGCTCATTGAATTGATCTACTTGGGTAAGAACGCAACCAAGACCTGGTAGACTGCTGTCAACGCTGAGTACTTGCACCTTATAACGATCGGGAAAAGTCAACACCGGATTACTGCACTGAATTTGCTTTAGAGTGTCAAATGCTTGTTGTTGCTCTGGACCTTTACAAATTTGACTCCCTTCCTTGTAAGACTAATTAATTCGTTGGCAATAGTTGCATAGTTGGGCGTAAACTTCCAGAAAAAAACCAGTAAGTTCAAGAAAACACTTGAGTTCAGAAACATTTTTACAGAGCGGAAGCGACTTGATCTTCTTACATTACGATCACCTGGTTTTGAACCTTCACCGCTAATGATATGCCCCAGTTACTCGACCGATTCTTGCGCTTGAACTTTAAATTGGTTCTTTCCGCTGCTTCAAATAGTTCTCGTACGTGTGCTTCCTGAGCTTCTCTTGTCCTGGAAAAGCATAGGATATCATCATAAAAAATACAAGCTGATTCACCAATCATATGCTTAAAAATAGAGTGCATCGCCCTTTGAAATTCTGAGCTGCCAGCAGATATAGCCATCTGCAAAACTTTGTACCAAAACGTTCCCCGCTTTGTAACAAATCCTGTGAGATTACGAGCTAAGGTATCCTCGGGATCGATCTACAACTGGTGGTACCCGGAAGAAGTATCCAGGCATGAGAGATACTTCATTCCAGCCGTCAGTTCAGTTAGCTCCGCCACGGTTGGTGTTGGAAAATTCGTTTGCACAATTAACTTATTTATCTTTCTATAGTCGATCACGCAACGCCGAGAGCCATCCTTTTTGTCCACCAGGAACGCAGCAGAACTCAAAGTACCGTCCGCCTCCTCGATTAAGTCCAGCTCCAACATTTCATCCACGTACTTATACAAAGCATCTTCATCTTCCCAGCTCAGCCGAAAACATATGCTCTTGATGGGTTTGGCACCCTCTACAACTCGCACACGCATTTTATGACCCTTGATTTTGGTAGGTCCCGATGCTTCAGAAAAGACATGACTAAATTCGTTCAGTAATTCATGTAGAGATTCCGGAGCACTTCGGCAATATTGTCCTTATCGTATTTAGTTTCTTCAAATGTATCAGGTATGAGACCTTCCTCCAACGATGCAGCATGCTTCGTAGCTAGTTCAATCTTGTAAATTTCTTTGCTTTTATCTTGCACCAAACCTGGAATGTGCGATGTAAAACCCTGCCACTTGACGAGACCAGACGTAGTAGGTACCTTGATGATAGAGTTCGCGATGTCCAGTTCAACGCCATATGCTTGCAACCATGGAATACCCAAAATTAAGAGATCCGCATTCGTTTGGTCTTGAACGCACATGTGCTCTGGCCTTATGTGTTTGCCTTGGATACAGATTGGCACATCCATCACAACATCACCACGCGCACCAGCAGATTCATTGTTAAGCCCTACTAATTGCAGAGAGTCGCCATTGCAAGCCACACCCAGAGATTCACACAAGGACCTTGAGATAACACTTATAGAGCCACCGGTATCGAAACAAGCAGTCACCTCCTGGCCATTAATCGATATTTCAGCCTTGAGAGGGGAACTCCATTTCATTTTTGACAGATCGTAGGGATAACGATATACTGAGTGGGTGTCGTCGAAGTTGAGATCCGAGTCAGAATCTGAAATAGAAGATGTCATGGAATCACCACCACTAGATGAGTTAGAGTCATAGTATGAAGAAACCTCAAAGATATCGGGATCATGGACAACGTTGATTTTGTTTGGAGGTTCTCTGATGTTACCATCTATCTCCATCAAATGCTGTTTAATACGTTTCGATCTTTGTTTCCTTAGATCACGCAGACCATCCACGAGATCCGTAGCAGCGTCCTTGTCAATCGCAACCCAGTCCAGGATGGATAGACCAGAATCTAGTTCAGTAAGCTTGCTCCACACGTTCAATGACCTGGTTGGCACCTTCAGCACACGAGCCTTTCTTGCTGGTCTTGGTTCCTTCATCATAATTTCCTTAGACACAACTTGCCCTGCTAGCGATACTCACTTCTTCTTGGCGGCACGATTGTTAGCATTTAAGACTTCAGGAACCTCAGGATTAGCTCTCTTGATAGCGTACACTTCATTTAACTGTTCAGCTTCCACCCATGGTATCAATAAGATCTAAAGAAGACGATGAGGGTAGAGGATATGGGAATTGAATATCAACAACTTCTACTGTTGATACTCGCTGGCTTTTCCCGAATCCTTTCCATTAGTACCCAAAGGTAAGCTGTTAGCACTAGTAACCGAAGGAGCCTTAGAATTATTGATCATTTCCTTGGTGCACTCATATTTCTTATGACCGGGTTCTCCACATAAGAAGCACACAGTCCCACCAGAGTGAGGACGACGGGGGCACTACCATATGCATTACCGCTTTTGTTGTTGTTCACAGTAGCTTCTTGTAAGGCAACCAAGTTAATTGACAATTTTTCCAGTTTGTCCACCAAAGACATCACACTTGACATGGCCGAAATCTCGGATTACTGTCCGTAATTTCGTAGTTATCCGCTACTTGTTCCTGCATGTTGCTCAAAGAACCAGTTTTCAAAGTGCCTTGACGATTGCTGACCACAACACCGTATTTCAACAGAGATTTTTCCACCTGTCTTGCCCTTTCCTTGGCAACCGCAAAAGTGGCAGGTTTACTTTCCTTCTCAACTTCATACGCAATATTGGAATTAATGGCATTCAAGAAGGTGCGCACCAGAAGGCTTTGATCCTTGTTGCCTAGAAAATTGAACAGCTCCTCCATTCGTATGGCTACTTTGTCAACGGAACTATACTTATATCCTTATTTGAGCCCATAAATTGCAGACCACCACCTATCCTCCAAGTCAGATAGGTATTGTGTCTTGAACAGACTCTCGAATTTTTCCCAAGTGTCGGCCTTGGGCCCAACCACGTTCCACCATGATTCAGCCTTGTCAACCAAATTTTCTTCAACGATGAGCAGCGTTTCTTCATCATGGATTCTTGCGCTTTTCTTGAGACGATTCATTCTTGACATCCAAGTGGCTGCCCTTTCTTCGTTGACGCCATCAAAAGATCTAGGATCCCTAAGAAAACGACCACCAGAGCATGATTTACCACCGTTTTTCTTGTCAATTGCCATTTGGATTATCTTTAGGGAGAACGACGAGTTAGTAACCATTGAAGCCCGGACCAACTGATAAATATCAGGCTCTCTATAATGATTACCTTGGTAGTTGGTAATCAAGATATAAGTATTGTTTTGTGGAAAGGAAGACTGTAAGAACTATCCCAATTATTATGAGAGATGAATTTAAGGGTTCTTTAGGTTTGTTCGTATTAGATTGGCACTAGTAACTAAACTCCAGATTAGAATAAGAAGAAAAAATGGATGATATTTATTAAGATGCCATTCAAACACTACGGCCCAACTGATGTTCTCATTTGAGAAGGTGTAGTTTTCCACATAAATAAAATGGTTTTAATAGCTAAACTATAATATTGTAGGCAACAGAGAGACTTTTATTATCTGTAAGATTCATAAAATTACTAAACGTATTATAAATTGCACGAGAAAATGGCAATTTAAAATTACCTAATAACTACATATTAAATTAAAAGAATATATTTCAATAAGATATTCGGGTAGTTTATTGGGAGGAACGTCAGATCCACAACCGATAGGTTCTGGGTTCTACCCCTGTAGGAGCACTCTTTTTTTCAGATTTCTGAAAATCGATGTGCTCATTTGGGAACATCAAATAGATTCTCATATGAGCACATCGATGTTCTCATGAGAACATCAGTTGGGACCGTGGTGAAAATACTATTTATATATGCTATTGTTCTATTCTTATTCTCCTGTCAGACTCAATTCAGATCCGAATGTCAGTTCCCTGATCAAATGTAACCCCAAATTGGATTGCTTTCAATTTGATGTCGATTTCATGTACCCGCGTTCTTGAGTCGATCCCATTGTTTAAAATAGTAACACCCCAATTCCATTGTTGTAATTCCACTTGAATCTTGCATCGATTCGACATCAATTGGTTTACATCTATCCTGAGTCAAAGTCCAGAGTCAAATCCACATTTCAAAATAGTAATGCTTGGCTATTAGCGCGCAATCTCATTTAAATCCCTGACTAATTCATCGATTCAACAATATCAACTCCAAATATTGATTAGATTTTCGGCTAAATTTGACAAGAAGCACCATGATTAAACGAATATGTAACAACAACAAAATAGAAGCGACACCAATTGAGTAAGCACCAACATTGATTAGCAATACACCAAATAGAGACCACATCGACTAGAATAACAGTATCAACGCACCATCAACAGATAACATACAGTTTTACAACAATTATATGAGTGTGTCAATGCGCCAGAACACCGCACCAACGAGGAGTAACCCTTCAAGTAAGACATAGTAGACAAGTTAGAGAATTACGCCTTGAATCCACCATCTTGCGCCTTTCCCATATACGGTATATTGCCTTTTTAGGAAATCGAGATAGAGCCAAGTAACCAAGAGAAAGATACACACGTATCAATATGTCGTCTTGATAGATAGATCCAATGGTAGGAGTTAATAAATAACTTAGAGTGTAACTAATAGATTGAGATTATGTTCGAAGATGCTGTTTATTGAATGCATTTACAACTTATATTTATACTATTTCTACGATCGATAATTACTTAATCAATGGAAATTTCAAGTAGATATAGTACTTGATATAGCAACTGATAATCAGATCAATGCCTGCTATCAGTTTCCAGAACCTTCGAGTATACGCTGGCACCTTTTAGTCGCTTTCTTCAAATCTGGCTTAAGTCTAAATTTAGGCACGACAAGTATGTCAGATGCTAATACGTAGAGATAGTATATGCAATCTGAGATCTGATCGAGATATAAATGGAAGTAGATATAGAGAGTGTGCAGGAAGATGTTATAGCCTTTTAGTTGAATGGATAAAAAGGTGCTTTATTAATATTAGATTTGAACATTGATTTTATCCAATATAGTTTGTGTAATGTTGTGCGCTATCCAGGTTAATCGCTGTTTAATGTTCCTGGTAGCTGGCGCTCTAGGTTTAAACCTGCACTTCTTATTCTTGTTTGTGTTTAGTCTGTCAATGATATCCTGCAGATCTAAATCACTGTCAGAATACCCTTCAACCCTGACATCACCCCCTTCGAGACAAATGTTCGACCCTGAACATCACTTGAACTTGATGAACCAGTGGCAGTGTTTGGCATATGAGAAGAGAGATCGACGATTTTTGCAGGTTGGGTGGTCTCATTTTGCGTGTGGATCTTTGGAATGGCAGGAGTTTTGAAGACAAAAGTACTTTTTGGTGGCCCAGGACGAGAAGTAAGTGCAATGGGAGTTTGGTTTGTAGCAGCAGGAGGGAAAAAATTCACAGTAGTAGTGGAATCAGGTTCTGGAGTAGCTTGAATAACGGAAGGTGGGCTGGCAGGAGAAACAACATGAGGTTCATTTCGAAGACCTGGCACCATTTCTGTGTTTTCTGGCTCTGATACACGCTCATCCAGTTCAAGATCTGTATCAACACTGACTGTTTCATTGATTATTGCTGCATCACCACTACTTATATTCGATACTGTAGACTGAGATGACAAATAAGACGATTCTGTAGAAGGAGATGGTGGTGGAGACATGGTATGTGGTGGGGATAGTGTTGGTGGTTGATCTGTGTCTTCAATATCGCTATCAGTAGATGACAAAAAGTCGTATCCATCCATGATTTGACCCAATCCACGTTCGTTGTCCTCTGTTTCATCCATCACACTACTCCCATGTAGAGAGCTATCCTCATCTGATATTTGTTGTGTAAGTATGTGATGATATTGAGAGTGAGTTGGCGGTTTATTAGTGGTAGTAGGTTGTGTAGTGGAGCTGTTGTTTGGCGTGCTCTGATCAGAAATTGGCATGTCGATAAAATCATCTTGAGGTTGATTTAGACTTGGGTTTGATGAGAAAATCGAAGGTGATGGTGAAGAGGAAGTAGCAGTGGTACCATTGGGGTCAGTGGAACTAGTATTTGAGGCCATACGAAGAGAATCGGCTTCACGAACAGCACGACGACTAGTAGTAGGATCATACCATGGCTCCCTGGGTTTGTCACCTTTCGCTGCTTTCAATCTGTCCACATGTACTAACGATTGTAATGGTTCACCAGCAATAGTTTCCAGTTGATAAGTACCAAAATCAGGGAACACCTTTGTCACAATGTAGGGTCCTTTGTAGCGAGGTTCTAGGCCAAATTTGCCTTCATGAGTCAGCATAACCATATCACCCATTTCGAAGTGCGTGGGTTTAATCTTGGCATCCCAACGCTTCTTGTCCGCTTCGCTCATGGCTTTCAAACGAAATTCAGCAGCAGCACGATGTTGACCAAGTAGTTCTAGTTCACGCGAGGTTAGGTCAGCTACCGTTCGTTTGTCCAACAGCATTTCCTTGGTGATATAGGGTCTCAAAACATCTCCAGGCAGTCTAGGTTCACGTCCATACACCAAGTAATAAGGGGAAAAGCCTGTTGTTGAGTGCACTCGAATTCGACTTGCCCACAAAGCCGCATTCACAAAGTCATCCCAGCGATGAATAGCACCATTGACATACTTACGAAGCATTTGCTTGATCACGCCATTGTATCGCTCTACCTTGGAGTTGGTGCGCGGGTGAAATGCCGAGGTGAGCTTGTGATTTATTCCAACACGTTTGGTGTAAGCTGTTACAAGACCACTAGTAAAATTGGCACCTCGATCCGTCACAATTTCAGAGGGACAACCAAATCGCATGACAATCTCCTCATAGATAAAATCCGCTACCGCTTCCATAGATGCTACTGGTACTGATCTTGCAATAGGCCAGTTTGTGAGGTAATCCACAGCCGTCAACAACCATTTGTTTCCGTTTCCAGTTGTAGGCAATTCACCCACAAAATCCAAATGCCAACGATCAAAAGCTTGAGGTATTTGCAGAGGATGCATGACATCTTGATGAACCTGATCACGGCGACTATTCAGCTGACAAGCAGTACAAGTTTTCAGCCAGTCTTGAATATCCTTTCGCAAACCTGGCCACCAGTACCTTTCAGTGAACATTTTTAGTATAGTCTTGATACCAGCATGGCCAAAAGCTTCATGATACTTGAAAACCAAATCAGCACGATCCGAGAACGGAATAAATTTGACTTGCTTTATGCTTCCATCCTCCATCTTGACTAGTCGATACACTGTTCTTTGGCGTACCACAAACTGATCCTCCTCCTTTTCCATGCGTTTTCGCAATGCATCTGATTTCATTTTTTCGTAGTTCTTGTCGACATACAGAATAGGCCAATCAGTCTTGATAGTATCAGACAACTGATCCCAAGCAGCATATAAGTATTCAGGTGCCAACGAAGGTATATTCTCTCCATTTTCCACAAGTAAATCTGGTTTTCTTGAGAGAGCATCCGCCACTTCGTTGTCTTTTCCAGCTTTGTACTCGATATTTGGCGAGAATGCCTCATAATCTGCAATCCAACGAACAAGACGAGGTGTTGGGTTCAGTTGAGACTTGAAGTAGATCAGAGGCTTGTGATCACTATACACAGTATAACCACCTTGACAACCGTCCACAAAACATCGCCATGTTCTCAAAGCATGGATGATAGCAATTAGTTCACGTTCCTGGGCAGGCAATTTTTGTTCAGCTTGAGATAATTTCTTGGATTCATACGCAATTGGCAACCAAGTTGAAGAATCAGGATCCTCCTGTAAAAGCACGGCGCCTACTCCAAAGTCACTTGCATCGGTTTCAATGCGGTATGGCTTGCTCATATCAGGTAGTTTCAATAAAGGAGATGATGTTAGCATTTGTTTGATAGCTTTGAAACTAACTTCACATTGATCATTCCAGACAATAGCACGTTTCTTAGCACCATTACCATGAGTCAATTCAGTAAGAGGAGCAGCCACAGAAGAGAAGTTCGGGCAGAAACGGCGATAATGCTGTGTTAATCCAACAAATTGACGCACCTCTTGCACATTAGTAGGTCTTGGCCAGTCTTGAATAGCTTTCACTTTTGACGAAGATGGCAAGATGCCGTTTGCCGAGACCTTGTAACCC